GTCTCTTATAGTTTGTCTCCCTCCCGATCCCATCTTGTTTCATTTATTCTTTTCCTACCCCCCAAGCCCCCCATGTTGCATTTCTACTTCCTCATACCAGGGAGATCATATGATAGTTGTCTTTCTCCGATTGACTTATTTCACTAAGCATAATACCCTCTAGTTCCATCCACGTCGTCGCAAATGGCAAGATTTCGTTTCTTTTGATGGCTGCATAGTATTCCATTGTGTATATATACCACATCTTCTTTATCCATTCATCTGTTGATGGACATCTAGGTTCTTTCCATAGTTTGGCTATTGTGGACATTGCTGCTATAAACATTCGGGTGCACGTGCCCCTTCGGATCACTATGTTTGTATCTTTAGGGTAAATACCCAGTAGTGCGATTGCTGGGTCATAGGGTAGCTCTATTTTCAACTTTTTGAGGAACCTCCATGCTGCTTTCCAGAGTGGCTGCACCAGCTTGCATTCCCACCAACAGTGCAGGAGGGTTCCCCTCTCTCCGCATCCTCGCCAGCATCTGTCATTTCCTGACTTGTTCATTTTAGCCATTCTGACTGCTAATTCTTACTTTTTTGCCTCCACAGTTCTGCGCGATCTGCCTGGAGCCTCTGACTTTCTGTGCTCTGACTTTGTGCCAGCTGCCGACTTCCTTTAGGCCAGACCCCCTCCCCATACACACACATACACACCTAGTAACACACGTACACACTCATACGAGCACATAACTCCCACACACACAGTCCTACATGCCTACTCCTATTCACGCTACATTCCTAGTAACACTCACTCCCATCCACACTCTCGTACAAACACTCCTACATACAAACTACTCACACACACACACACACACACGCACTGCACTTGTCTCTGCCTAGGACTCTCCCCACCCCCAACCCCCCCACCCCCGTTTCACAGAAGGTTCCCTCCAGTCCTGAGCTCGGCCCTGGTGAGACTTCTCGAGGAACTGGGTCACCTGTTCCCGGGCTGGCTTGGCTCCCCATGCCTTGCCCCGGAGGCCACCTGCGCTAACTTGTGGTGCGCGGCTCTGGAAACGGGAGCCGGCCGCCTCTGCTGGACGAAGCTTTTTCCTTCCATGAAGGGCGCACCAAGTACTCACCAGCCCCGTGTTCCACTGGCCCTGGCCACACAACGTGCCCAGCCAGGTGTGTGTATGACATGAAATTTTAAAACCCACAGACTTAGGCTTTTTTTTTTTTACATTTTCTTTTTTTTTTTTTTAATTTTTATTTATTTATTTTTTATTTTCAGCATAACAGTATTCATTGTTTTCAGACTTAGGCTTTTTATTAAAGGAAGGGTAAGGGGAAATGGAGGCAAAACCACGAGCCAAGAGCAGGGAGCAGCAGACCAGGGCTGAGTCAGAGGGTCTGCTTTGCCAGCGTGTCCGCGTCTCCACGAGTCTACCATGGTGGGACTGCGACTTTTTCTCCTGGTCAGTGAGCCCTCCCATTAGCCTGGGGGGAGCGGCCCTCGCAGGTAGAGACGGGGACCCGCGGGCCCCTGGTCACATGGGATCAGTCTGGGCAGAAGGGGTGGGTCCAGGGACGAGGATTTGAGCCGCGGCTGTCAGACTCAGTCTTTCCTCTGGCCTCTGAGCCCGATCTAGATCCTGAGAGAGAATGCGGGGTTCCCTAGGGGTGGGAGCAGCGGGGAGCGCTTGGGTCCCGGGGAAGAGTGGTCTGCCGGGAGGTCGAGGAAGGTGGCAGGTGTCTGCGTGTGTCTGGAACGATCCCTACCTGGAGGGGCTGAGGAAGAACGGAAGGGAGGGCCTCCCTCAATCCCAGTACAAGTCAGGACAGGGAGCCTGGGACTCCATTGCCCGGCACTCACCGACCGGGTCATGGCTTCCGGGTTGTCACGGAGGGACATCACAGATGTCAACTCCATAAAGCAAAGGCTGCCTCTTTACTGAAAACGAGTCAAGATACGTGGCTGGGATACTACCGTTTGCTGGGCCTTCTAGGCGCTTCCCCTCGATGAGCTGCTGGAATCGTCTTCCCCGACACCGTATTCCAGCCACAGTTCCAGACCCCCCGCCCCCGAGTCCAGGGCTGTGTAGATGGCCCAGGCCCCCGAGGGCGGGTCACGGTCCTCCCTGTCTTGGCGCCTCCGGCCCTGGGCCGTGAGCATCCGGTATCTGTAAATCGGGAGCTCATGACTGTTGGTCTTGACAAAGGAAAGGAATGCCCGTGACTTGTTCGCACAAAGCCCTCCTTGTGTCTCCATGATGATTTCATGGGAATGAGAGTTCTATCTGGCATGCTGACTGGGCCCCACAGAGGGCCCTGCTGTTGGGCAGAATCAGGCCGTGCTCACCAGCCCAGTCCGTCAGCTGGTGAGTCCCAGAGCTTCCTGGGCGAGGGGTTTAAGCAGCCGTCAACGATAATCTTCTACAATGTATTGAAGGGAAATATTTCTGATTTGAATAACAAAGCATTGGTGTCTATGTGATAAAAAGAATCACAATAAATCAATGAGAAAAAGTCAAGTGACTTTTTGGAAATGGATAAAAAAATTTGGAAAACGGATAAAACATGAATTGGTGATTCACAGATAAACTACAAGTAATAAAAGTGTGAAAAGATGCTCCACCCACTGGAAGTTAGGGAAATGCAAGTGGAAATGAAGTATGAATTTTCTGCCTTGCAGTTTTGCAAAAACTAAGAGGTTTGCTCATACCCAGGGTTAGTGATGCAAAGGGAAACGGGCCCCAGCTGCGCCGCGGGCGGTGAAGGCGTTGGGAAGATGTCCCATCTTCTGGCGATCTGGCAGTTACTATTTATATTTGAGATGATACATATTAAAATGCGTATAACCCAGAGATTTCACCCCTAGGAAGCTCTCCACGAGAAGTACTTTGTATCCTAGAGCAAACACACGTGTGTGCAAGTGTTTCCATCACGACCCTGCAGCATACAAGCCAGTGTCCTTCATGGAGGGATGACCATCAGAGTTTGTGAGGTCCGGAGAATTCCAAGTAGCCCTTTAAAGGGGGATGAGGAAGCTGCATATATGCAGACACGGCCAGATGTTAAGGCAGAACGCTGAGCAAAAAGGCGATTCATACAACTGCCCAGAGGGGACAGGTTTTGTCACTTCTAAGATGCAAAGTTTTCACATAGGAGTTCTCTAAGTTTTGGATGTATCTCATTCTTGAGTCCTTCAGTGCTCGGAAATGCCACGTAGCCTGGTAGAAGGCACGTCCCTAATCTACACCATTCAGTCCCAGCCAGGTGTTAAGCTCCTTCAGCCCCTGGCTAACTGGCTCCCTAACCTGCCAGTCTGTTCGAGGTCATTAGCATGTGAACTCATGTTTGAATGTTTCCATTTGCTGGGGCGGGGGGGGGGGGGGGGGGGGGGGGGAGCCCCGGCAGCCTAACTTTTCTTCCTTTTCTGAGGCTGTGGGCTTGGTCAGGTTGGTTGAGTCACCTGGTCCCCTGTTGTCGGGTTGACGACCATTCCTGCCCCCACCATCCCTCTCCCAAACCTCTCCTGTCTGCACCTATACTTTTTTCTGGTCCCTTTATCCTAGGTCCTGCTGTACCTAGAGCTGAGAAGGGACAGGCAGACAGACCCATGAGGAACACCCAGTAATTAAATGGCCCATAGGAGCAAATGGTATCTCACAGCAGGTGATTTTGGGGGCGGGAAGAAGGGGAGAGGGAAAGAAAATGTTATAAAATCGTCCATTTTAACAAATATAACAAGCTTTATAACATTTATTAAATAAATACAACAAATAATAAGAAGCATAAGGGGGCACCTGGGTGGCTCAGTCAGTGAACCCTCTGCCTTCAGCTCAGGTCATGGTCCCCAGGTCTTGGAATCGAGCCCTGCATTGGGCTCCCTGCTCAGAAGGGAGCCTGCTTCTCCCTCTCCCTCTCTGCTTCCCCTGCTTGTACTCTCTCTCTCTCTCTCTCTCTCTGTGTCAAATAAATAAAATCTTTAAAAAACTAAGAAGCATATGTTTAAATTCCACATTATTCTGAGAATATCTGAAAGAGGATGTTGGTGTGCCTCCACCGGGAGGAGGGTGAAGGTGGAGGGGTGCAGAGATGTGGGGATGACCAGAGACATACGGATGTGCAAAGGGAGGTCGGACAAAGTTTCAGATTTTAGGAGGAAAAGCAGCAGCGTTGGAAGGACATTCAGATTCCACCTGGTCGTGGACTTCCAGCATTCTGTCCTCTTTCCGGGGACTCGGAGAATCCACTGCTCAGAGCACAGATCCCTGTTTGGACTCCAAGAGGAGCACAGGCTCCCAGAAGGGCGAGTTATCACTCCGTGCTGCACACACAGCTCACGCCTTCTGAAGAGCGGCTGGGAACTTGGGCCAACCCCCTGGACACCATGCCCAGTGTCCGGGCTGTCCTCATGCCAGAGCTGAGCTAGATTTTAAAAGTCCTAAATTAATTGTCTACATAAATCAGTGTCTACCTCCTAATGAATGTCTTCTCTGAAAGGAAGTAAGGCACCGTTTGAATGCAAAGAAGAGATTTCATAGAAGAAAGAGACACAGGCTGGAAGTCAAAGTAAAGATTTATCCTTGCATCAGAATGTTTTAGATCTTGCAATTTGCATATACAAAGAATTCAGCAACATTCACTGGCATTATAATCAGAGCAAGATCAAATTATAGATGTAATAAAAGAAAATATGATCGTTGAAAGGGGAATACATACATACATTATAAAGATTGCACATAAATTAAACACAACTGAGTTAAACAAAAGTATCAGTAATCATACATTTTAAAAATAACATGGGCATGTCTCGGAATGCTGAAACAGACACGTCAGGCTCATTTTAAAAAGTTTTTAAAAACACATAAAAATACCTTTTAAAACACTGGTATGCATTCTTCATTCGTCTAGCACGTGGAGAGAAACAGTAAAGTGAGTCACACAGTGACCGTACAGCTTGTGGATCAGAACGGTAGGCTCCTAATCGCTATTTGGCATTTGAATGCAACCGCATGCAACATACGAAAACGTGAAGGGAAGGAGGACGGCGGCGGCGGCGGCGCTGTGGGGGTGGGGCTGTTTGTTCTGTACAATGGACCGACTTTGACCGAGGGGGAAGAAGAGGTCAGTTTCCTGGCTGACGCAGAGAGCATGGCCAGTTCCCAAGTGCCCAAAGAGACTAGGGGGCCTTGGACTGGGGGCGGGAGCTAGGCAGAGGCCATGAGGCTGCAATTCCCAAGCCCCCAGAAAGGCAAGTCCCTCCAAGGGACCGCGGCTTCTGCTTTGTCTCCAGAATTGGAAGGGCCACAGTGGGTGCCAGGATGCCTGCAGTGGATAAGGGAAAGAGAAGAACACACACATGGGGCACTTTCCCGAGGGCACCCTGGATAAGGTTGATCTTAATCTCCATCCAAGAGATGGCAGGCAGGCCACTAAAAGGCCTGTCAGATTCTAATGAGGGTTCCTAAATTAGACCCAAATCCATTCCCTTGACTTTGACTTTAAACCCTCACATACAATATTAGTCACCTTCGTCACAACTGGCCCACTCCGTTTCTAGGGTTTGGTGCCAAGTGAAAGCTTGGTTCCCTCTCTTCTCCTTCAGTCAAAGAAAGGCTTTGGACTTGGGATTTTAACAATGAAAACATATGGGACCAACTGGTGCATCTTGTGAAGTCCCCTCCATTTTCCTCCTTAACCCTAATGCATTCTAACTGTACCAGGAAGGAGAGAGAGGGTTGCGTTCAGCAGTGCGTGCGTGGCCCAGGGATGCGGCTGGAGGCGGCGGTGGCAGTGGTCACCAAGTTGTGCTCGTGCCCTTCCCGCGGGTCCCTCCTCTTGCCCAAGGGTGGGGCTCAGAGGAGCAGCGGAGGCTTGATTACGACAAGGCTGCTGTTAGCTGGTAACCAGCCCTGGAGCTGCAGGGTACACACCAGGGATGGACACAGGATGAACAGTGCAATGGGAGGGGGCAATCACTTCTCAGTGGAAATGTCACATAAGGCCTTTGTATTTCTTTTAAAAAGCAAAAAAAGAAAAAGAAAAGAAAAGAAAAAAAAGTACCCCAAATGTACATGTTAAATGCTTTTAGTGAGTTAGAGCAGGTGTCATTCATAAATAAATATATATATAGTATATATACACTATATATATTATATATATTGTGCTCATCTGCTCCCGAATGGCATAGAAAGATCACTGTCATTGAGTTAAACTTTTCTACATTCATCCCCCCGCTCTTTTTTTTGCCCCACAAGCCGATCCTGTCCGGCAGTGAGATCATTACTACCCAGTGTCAAAGGTCTCAGTAGTATTTCCATTCAAAAATAAGTTAGCTTTTAGATTTAAGGATTTCTATCTCTTTTTCTTTTATTTAAATATTGGGGAGTGGGACTTCTAAATAAAAACTGTATAAATCTAGATTTTAAGATTTCTTTTCTTACAAACAATCTTAGCTTTTACAAGATTTTTTTTTAATACCAAAATGTTTCTCAGAAAGTTGAAAGCGTAATTGCTTGTGGTTTTCTCCCCAAGCGTGTGCTCCTTGCGGCTGTGTGAGTCGCCCGTCCAGCTTTATCTGAACGTGAGGACTGGGAAGTGGCTGGTGCTGAGCCTCTGGGAGAGCTCAAACCAGCTGGGGGGAGGGGGCAGAGTGGGAGGCAAGGCTGAGAAAGGCAGTCGGTTGGATTCTCAGGGGGTCGTCTGAGTCAGACCCCAGACAGACGGACGGGAAGTGGCTACGTGGAAGCACAGCTTGAGAGCTGGTTTCGCTGGACCCAGAGCCGTGGGGGAACCTTTCCACCCATGCCTACATCTCCCCTCTTCCGGCCAAGACGGCAGGGACCCGGCCTTGAGTAGATGCATGTCTACGTGTCACCCCACAGCCACCAATGATGCTAACGTGTTCTACACCTGCCGTCAGGCTGTAGTCCTTGATCTTTAAAATGTGAAAATCAAGCACACGAGTTCCAACAGAGGATTTCACAGGATTCCCTATTTACAGTGTAGCCTCGTGAACATTTCACCTTCCCCCAAATGCCACTGCCCAGGACTGTAAAAACATGGTCAGGAAAGAGAATTTTCAACTGATTCTTGAGTCTCAACCGCTTTCTTAACAGCGCAGGCTTTTGTTTTCTCTCCTGCGTAAGCACACGTTGCATATTCAGATTTTTAACATTTAGAAGTGCTGCACGTGTGAAATTCAACAATGGGATGCATCTGATGCAAAATTAACATATTTACTGGTATTAGCAGAAATATATTTTATGGGATATTACTTGACCTTAATACACGGTTCCAGTTTTTACAGCAAGTGGCCTTCAAAGCGTAACAAAATGTATACAGAGAAATTAGGACGAGCATTAATGTCAACTATGAAATAAATTAACATGATTTTTATAAAATATACTGACCATTAAATTAAAAAATATTTTAAGGCAGGAATTTTCATTTGAAATTAGCATAATCAGAAAATATATCAATAAAATCTTGTACCACTTTGTAGCAGAATTCATACTGTTCCTGAAAAAAAAAAAAACACAAGAATACATTAAAATGATACATTTTTAAAAATCCATTAATTTAATTGGGAGAAACATTTTAAAAGAAGACATAAAAGAGTGTGACCAGTTACAAAATTTACTTTTTGGGCACTTCAAAATGAAGCTGGATTTTTGTTGTTGTTGTTGTTGTTATTTTTAAGATTTTATTTATTTAGAGAGTGAGCAGGGTGGGGGAAGGGCAGAAGGAGAGAGAGTCCCAAGCAGGCTCCCTGCTGAGTGCAGAGCCCACTGCGAGCCTCAAACCCAGGACCCTGAGATCATGACCTGAGCTGAAACCACGAGCCGGACACTTAACCGACTGAACCATCCAGGCGGCCCTAAAGTTATTGTTTTATATGGAACATGTCGATATTTAGCTTCAACTTGTCGTATTTTAGGACAGTCTGAGTAAAAGGTCTGCAGTTTTCATATTTAAACTGGAAAACAGGTATTGTTGAAATGACCATGAGAGAAGTCGGGATACTGAACTTCACTGTGTCACAAAGAAGCAGTCTGTGAAAGTTAAAAGGAGGAAAATCTAGGCTACTTTTAGCTTAAGCTTACTCTTAAGAGGGGACGTTGTTTTATATAAATTTTACTACATTTCAGGAGAATGTTGCCTCTCTCTGTCGGAGGCATTCAACTCATGAGAACACGGCCGTGCACCTCTTGTCCTCCCCCGGCTCTTGGAGGGGGTGAGGCCGCGAGGCAGGGCGGTGGGCAGATGGAGGGAGGATGGGGGGCGGCTACGCAGGACCTGCGGCATCCGCCAGTTCTGGGCATTCCATGGGAAGCCGGGTAACAGGAGCCAAGGGCAGCTGCCAGAGATTCTGGAGATCTGCGTGCATGACAGCCGGCAGATGCGGAGAGGACCCCGGAGGTTTGAGGAGCAACAGGCAGCTAACCTGCCTCTCAGGTAACAGGGTCTGGTTGCTTGCGGACCCCGGTATTTGCTGGCTGAGTGGCGCTCGGCAATTGGGCCCTCGAGGGAGGGGCCTGGGAAGCAGGAGAGACGGAGTGTGGCTCCCCAGCCCCGCCCATCTTCTCTCCCAAATTTGGAAGTTAGTTCAGCCTCACATCAAAGCTGCCTCCCGTCCTGGAGGAAGTGGCAACTCCATTAACCCCTTTCTGTTTTAGCAGCAAACACAAGAGCTAACTGTGACCCATCCACGCTGTGTCTCGAGTCCAAGCCACTGGTGCCCAGTGATCAATGATGTGTATTTTGGCAATTTGTTGAGATGACACAGGCCACACCTCATGTCACAGACATTTCCTATCAAGGCACAAAGCTCCCAGGAAAAAAATAAAAACAAAAACACTTTTTGCCTTGGAATGCGTGCTGCCCTAAAGCCTGTCTCAGGAGTCCTGCCGGGTGGCCAGGAATTGGTTGACTTTCCAAGTCAGGTTACAAACACTCTGTTAAACTGTGTCACCAGACCAGAGGGTACAGACCCAAGCTCAACGACAGCCATGGGCAGCTTCCCAGGGAGGGGTGCGGGGAGAGGCGGCAGTGGAAAGAGCAGAGCTGAGTCAGGGACGTTCAGAAGGACGGGCTCCTGGAGATAGGACACGTGGGCCAGACCCAACAAATCTGTGGGAGCTGAGGTCCCTTCAAAACCGAGGGAGAGTTTGCATGCTGAGCCAGACTAGAGATGTTCTTTGCCACGGTCGCCAGGGGCCTGCCCGGGCCAGGCACTGGTGGGCCCCCGATGCACACACACAAAGCCAACGTGCATGTCAACTAGAGGCAGGTGCCATCCCCCCGTTTTCCACAGATAAAGAACTGAAGTCCAGAAAGTGGAAGGAGCTTGTTCGAGGCCGCAGAGGCACGAGGGGCCAGCCCTGCATTTGGGATGATAGCCTGAAGTCCAAGCATCGAAGGGAGGCCCTGGCTTAGCTTTCCTGTTTAATGGGGGCCGTGCAGGACTAAAGCTACCACCTCTGCCTGGGGAAGCCCGTAGTGGACTTAAAAGCAGTCAGGAAAGAAGATGAAAGACTGTGCCTCAGAATTCAAAACGGAATTTTTTTGGAGAATGTTCCCATTCATTATTATTTTGACCTGGAAAGCCCTCCATGGAGGGGTCTGCCTCTGGTTTTTCCACGCCCAAAGTCGTTCACGTTTGTGATGCCGCTAGGCGGTATTAGCTAGCAGGAGGCAGGCACGGCTTTTAGAAGGACCCCTCTAGCATCTTCCAGAGCTCTAGCAAGAAGGACTGTCTGCACTGGGATCAGGGCTCTAAGGAGAGCGGAGGGGCCCCCAGCACCATCTCCTTCCTGCTCTCAGTCATGGCCTGGCCTCAAGGCGGGCACGCGAGGCAAGGGTGTGGGGACCCGGCAGCCACCCCGTTTCCTTCAGTCATAGTGGTTCTCAAACCTGTCTGTGCTTTGGGACCACCAGGAAGAGCCTTAACTATCCTGATGCCTGCCTGGGTCTGAGCCCCAGAAAGCATGAGGGCGGCCTGGCCATGGAGGAGTGTGAACTCTCTCCAGGTCTCCCTGGGATGCCCTCAGGGTGAGAACCATGCTCTGTCCAGCCTGGGGGTGGGAGGGCAACCCTGCTCTCTCGGTGATTCTAGCAGCTTCCCCTGCGATGGAAAGGTTCTGGAAGTCTCTCCTGCCACCTTCTAAGCCTGCTGGAGTCGGGATCCCGTTAGCCACGCAGAGTGAGTGCACAGGGGGGCGCACATGTAAAAACGGGAAGACTGGAGAAAAATGACGGGTTCTAATAGTTTCTGAAATTGTACTTATTGGGGTAGAACCATCACCAAGTTTGGCGAGGAGGCACGTCTTCTGCAAACCAGGAAGTGTGTAGATTTGTCACAGGACGCAAGAGAACGGCGCCAGAAAATGGTGGAGGAGCCACGGAGACACAGCAAGCTGCCGTCATCGGTGCATGTGTCCAAGGGGTCTCACAGTCTGAAGCCATGAATTCACCCCTCCTCCTACGTCCTGCCCAGGGGACAGTCCACAGCAGAGATGAGGAAGGAAGGGGGTCCATCAAGCTTCACTGTGCAGAGGACCATGAGCTCTCTCCCGTGGGAACTCACCCTCCTCCCTCCCCACACACTCGAGCTCCTTCAATGAAACAGACATCAATTCCAACGTAAGACAACTCTTGACCCTTCCAGAAACATCCCCATGGCTCCATCTCTTACCAGGGTTTGCACCATATGTGGTCTCTGAAGTCGCAAACTCTTCACAGCTTGGAACACGTCTAAAAGGCCCTCGGCTTTTACTCGTTCCAGAATGTTGCTGAGCGCTATGAAGGTGCCTGTTCGCCCGGCTCCAGCACTGGGGAGGGAAAGTGCTTAATGCAGACAAGCACACTCACGCGTGGGGATGAGAAAGGGACAGCCCACAGCCCATCCCTACACATCCACGCGGAAGCCATCACCACTGAAAGCGATCAAAGTCTGCGTTTCTAAGGTTCATCTACATGGAGCAAGAGTCAGGAAACATGAAATTCCTAAAATTTGCCCCGTTGCAGCAGAAATGTGTCTCTGGAGCTGGACTGAGACCGATTACAAGCTTTCAAGCCAGGGCAACAATGTCCCTCCTCCCTTGTGGAGACCGGTGGTTCTCAGGGTGCGGTCCCCAGGACCAGCAGCGTCAGCACCACTTATCAGAATTGTAGACACTCCTGGTTCGGGACTAGGGAGAGGTCCTCTCTGGCTAGACTCCCCTGTGCTAGTGGCTGCCTTCGGAGAGGCGCTGGTTTACAAAGGGTGAGGCCAGACAGAGGGCGGCCCCTGCCAGGAAGGGTTAGACAAGGAACGCTTCCCAGCAGTGGAGATCTGGGTCTACTCCCTTTAAGATGATCGTCTTCTTGCTGTGCTGGATGAGCCTACAGGAGCAGAGCCTGGGCACCCCCCGGAGAGCCAAGAGAGTGGGCCTAAAGTGGGCAGGTCCCGCTGACTTCCTCCAGAGTCCTCCAGGCCCACAGTCCCGCACATGGGCTGGTTCTGAGGCTCCTGACCTATTTTGATGACCTGTCCCCACCTCTGCCCTGTGGGACCTTGTTCACCTTTGCCTTCCATGTGCTAAACTGTCTGGGTCTCTGGAGGCAAAACGCAAAGGAATGGATTTTTAGTTTATTCCAAAAGACGCCTACAAAGCCCCCCAAGAACCAAAAACCGCGTTCTGTGCTCCCCCTCCTGGCCAGGCCAGAATTGCACCCAGGCTGGTCCCACGTGAAGCGTTCCGAACCCTCCAAGTTCAGCCCAGGCTCTGGGGGCTCCAAGGAGTAAGGGGGCAATGGCAGGCACAAAAGCCAGCGGAAGCCACAAGTGGAAGAAGAAACAGAAGAACAGCTTTAGACGCAAATCAGCACCCTCGAGAATGAAAATGCCCCAAACTCCTGCTGGGGAGAGCTCTGGAGTGGAGGCCAAGGCCTCCTGCTGGCATGGGGGGGGGGGTTGGCCTGACCAAGACCTGGAGCCTGCACGTCTTTGGATTTGGAATTCCCCAGATTCTCCTTCCACGCTCACCACACCGCTTATCAAGGTCCTTGATGGGGACGCCCACTGTCTCCAGGCACTCCCCTGAGCACATGTCCCTCCTCCGGCCTCCCTGGCACCTGGCTTGGGAGCTGGGTTGAAAGGCTTGGGGCTGGAGTGGGCAGCAGGCCTCTGGGAGCAGTCCCAGCCAGGACGTCTTTGGGGGCTCCAGAAAAATCTGCCCTCCGTGAGGACGTGCTGTAGCCCTGCCTCGGTTCCCGGAGCCCAGGGGGGTGGGGGGGACGACAGGGAGGGGTGAGCACATCAGCCAGAGCCAGCACATCTTCCAAAGCGAACACAAGCAGCTGAATTTTGGGAACAGGTCAGTCTGAGCTATGTTTGGCTGGTCTGGGGAGGACTTCAGAAGCTCGTGGAAACATGTGTTTGAGTCATTTCCCGGCTCCTCCTCCCACGAGGTCTCCTGTGCGTAGCTAAGATGACATTTAGGCACCTAAAGCTCTCTGTGTAGGGAAAGTCTCGGGGACGATGCGACGCGGCTGGGAGCCGCAGGCTGGGTGTGGGGTCTGCATCCCACCACTCACCAGGAGGGGCGCCCCGGCCCCGGCGGCTCACCTGCAGTGCACAGTGATGGGGTGGTTGCCCGTCTGCTGCTGCTGCTTCTGCACAGCCGCGATGAGGTCGATCATGCCCTTGCCCTCGGCCGGAATCCCGATCTCGGGCCAGCCGTGGAAGTGGAACTGGCGGACCACGCGGGTCTGCTCCTCCTGGTGGGCCAGGGGCTGCGGGCAGGGGAGGGCGTTTCTGCTCACGCAGCCCCAACCATCCAGGAACAGACCTACCCTCCTGTGGAGCAGGGCCCAGGCTTGGGGTCCTCCTGGGTCCTCCGATGGCCGGCACAGTCCCCCTCTGGCTGGCCTGGGGGTCCCGGCCAGGCTGTCTGTAGGTTGAGTGCACCCCAGAGCAGAAGGCCGCAGAATGAGGAGCAGGATATGCAGAGGATGTCCCCAGAGCCCCCGCCAGGGCCCACCGGACACGGGACGGATCCTGGCAGCTTTGCTTGAGAAAACAGGACCGTCTCTTTCCTAAGAAGCCAGGACCCCTCCTGTCCCAGACGCTCTGGAAAAGCCTGGAGAGGCCTCTGCGGCTTCATCCACACCCCCTCGTCCTCCTGTCCCTGCCGCTGCCATTTCTCCTGAGCGGGTGTTTGTGGCTGTGGAACGCCTCTTAGAGTTGGTCACTCTGCTCCCCCTCCCTCTCTCGTGCTCCAGCAAGGACGCACAGGACCACGGAGGTCCGAATGTTAGAGGAGATCTGCCCCTTGATGACACGGCTCCCTATTCACACGCTGGCCACTGATCCGAATGCACCAGTTAGAAAAGCCTGGAGGAGCGGGATGTGCCGGGACCATGGAAAGGAGCCCCTGACGGCCACTTCGGGGCCGTCTGTCTACGAGAGCCCACAGCACCGGCGACAATACCTGATTGAAGGTGACCAAGAAGTCCCGTATGCTGATGGCTTCCGAAAGCGTATCACTTTTTATTTCGATTGTTATTTCGCCATGAGTCACAGCGCCCTCTGTCGGCCAATACTGGTAGCATTTATCCTTGGGGGATAAAATGAAACTTTAAGTCTCACAAGAAATAATGCCCTGTTAGCGGTTTGACATTATGCTGCAGGATGGCTCTCGGACCGTTTAGCGCTTCTCATCTGACGCAGTAAATCACTAACAAACGCGAGTATGGATGCCGGCTAACACCTGTTGACCAAGGGAATCCAGAAACAGGTGTGTATTCGGAACTCGGATACAGGAAGAGATTATCCAATCAACGGAGCTGTGAAAATTGGTTTTCCATATAGGAAAAGGGGTGGGTCCCTGACTCACACTCTAGCAGGACTGATAGGAACAGTCCAGCCCTCCTGGAGTTGGGCAGTGCACAACATGCCCTACCATATCTGGTAGCTTTGAACCTTCATAAAAGTAAACCCAGACAGGTTAAAACTTAAAGTCAAAAACAAAACTGTGAGAGCCTTAGACGAAAATATCTTTTCTTTTGGGGGTACAGAAGGACTTACTAAAAAACAAGACTTCAAAAGAGTGAACCACCCACGACACAAAGATTATGACATCAGATTAGACCACAATGAGGGCGCCTGGGTGGCTCAGTGGGTTAAAGCCTCTGCCTTCAGCTCTGGTCATGATCCCAGCGTCCTGGGATCCAGCCCTGCATTGGGCTCTCTGCGCAGCAGGGAGTCTGCTTCCCCTCTCTCCCGTCCCCCTGCCTGCTTCTCTGCCTACTTGTGATTTCTGTCTGTCAAATAAATAAATAAAATATTTTTTTTTAAAAAAGAACACAACAAACTTCTCTTCATCAACCAACATGGCCGAGAAAGTGAAAAGACATGCCATCAATGGTGACAAGATATTTGTAGTTCACACAACTGACAAAGGATTAGAATCAAGAATATGTAAAGAATTCTTACAAGTCAACACAAGAAGAACAAACGACTCACTAGCAAAACGGGGGAAAGGCCTGGCCAGGCATCTTGCACGGAGGGAACATGCCATCCGTAAGTGTATGAAGTGAGGCTTGACCTCAGAGCAATCAGAGGGATGCCAGTCAGGGCCTAGGAGGGGTGACACATACGTACGCCTAGTCAGTCAGCAAACACGAGGAGCCCTAACAATACTAGGGACGTCAATGAAGGATCTCTCTCCTCCATTGCCAGTGTCCACTTTAGGAACTATCCTGTCAATCCAAACTGTCACTCTCCAATGTAGCATTCTGTCCCTGGAATAGGCTACTCCTTGTGCAGCATGAGAACTGTAGGAGAATGTACTAGTAGCACCATTTGTAAAAAAAAAAAAAAAAAAAAATGCAATTGACCCAAATGCCGTGACAGGAGAAGGGATAGATAAATGGATGCAGGGTGCACTGTGTGCAGTGAGACACAAGGACATACTGAGGAATGAGCCACGGCCACAGGCATCGACGCAGGAGCACATCAGAAGCATCCTTCTGAGTGTGGAAAGCAAGTCCTGGAAGAATACGCACTCTAATGACCCCCTTATAGAAAGTTCGATAGCAAGCAAAACTGAACAGTAGCTTTAAGACATACACGTATAGGATTTCTAAAAAGCCGAGACCACATCCACAAGGATGGCTTTAAAAAGATCAGTAGTGGGGCTCCTGGGTGACTCAGTTGATTAAGCGGTTGACTTCAGCTCAGGTCATGATCTCAGGGTCCTGGGATCAAGCCCCGCATTGGGCTTCCAGCTCAGGGAGCTCCCCGTTTCTCCCTCTCCCTCTGCCACTCCCCCTGTTCTCTCTCTGTCTCAAAGAAAAATCTTTAAAGTTATAAAAAGACCAGCAGTAATAAGTGTTGGTGGAGAAACTGGAAACCCTGTATACTCTGGTGGGAGCAGGAAACGGGGTGGCTGCTGTGGACCTTCTTCCAAACGTCCAGCCAGATGAGTTCGAGAGACGGAGTTACAATATGGCCCAGCAATTCCACCCCGAGGTGTCTACCCAAGAGAAACGAAAACAAATCCATGTAAGAACTCCAACATGGACATTTCCAATGTGATTCATAATAGCCCCAAAGTGGAAACCACCCACACGTCCATCAATAGACGAATGGGAGATAGTGTGGTACGCCCAAACAAGGCGGCCCATACAACGGAAGGCAAGTCGTCAAGAGAAAAAGAACCTATTTTGGATACAACATGGTTAAAACTAGAAAACATAAGAATTCAATCACAAAAGACAGGTCGTATGATCTCATTTACGGGAAATGTCCAGAACAGGCAAATCACAGAGGTGGAAAGTAGAGGAGTGGTTGTGGAGGAAGAAGAAACGGGGCCTGGCTGCTCACGGGTAGGGGGTTTGTTCTGAGACCGACCAAGCCCCATTTGATTTAACAGAAGGAAAAGGGCTGATGGAAATGATCTGGAATTAAATAATGATGATGTTTCACAACTCTGTAAATATGCTAAAAATTGCTGACTTGTACCCTTTAAAAATATGGATGGAATTGTACATGTATTATAACTCAATGTACTGTTTTTAAAAGAGGCAAAGAAGGGGTGCCTGGGTGGCTCAGTGGGTTAAAGCCTCTGCCCTCGGCTCAGGTCGTGATCTCAGGGTCCTAGGATCGAGCCCCACGTCGGGCTTCTCTGCTCAGCAGGGAGCCTGCTTCCCTTCCTCTCTCTCTGCCTACTTGTGATCTTTGTCTGTCAAATGAATAAATAAAATCTTAAAAAAAAAAAAAAAAAGAGGCAAAGAAATCAAAACACGGGTTCAGGGTAGTGGTTCTGTCTTGAAAGAGCCCCCAGATAAGTGGCCATCACGGACCAAAGTTCGGTTTTTTGTTTGGAGAGTGGGTTCATGAGCACTTACTGTGTTGTTAACTGAACTCCGTAAACAGGGCCCAGATGGAGCTCTGGGGACAGGGAAACACTGACTCATTCCATTCAACCAGGACACCATCCGTAAGGTGCCCATGTCAATGTCAATGTCTATGTCCTTACGACTTGAAGATAATGAGTAAATGTTGTTTTGTTCAACAGGTTTTAATCAAATTTGCATTTGTGGAAAAACAAAATGACACACTTGCGAGGCTGGCTATGTAAAACGTTGGGTAAGACCAAAAGCCAGTGTGGGTGGTCATGGCTAAGCAAACGGGATCTTTTTTCCATTTCCTGCCTGTCTCCCGCCTGGGCCGTGGCCTGGCCTCCGCAGCTGACCACGGGTGGGCCCATCACAGGGGATCGCCAGTGGGCTGGGCTGCCGGGGGTGCACACTGCCCCCCCAAGGGCCCGGGCCAGCCACGAGCGCCACTGACCTGCTCTCTCTCCTGGACCTCCGTCAGCATCACGACCGTGTGGCACTTCCACTCCCACACCATCCTCCAGAAGTCCTCCACTGTGTGCGCCAGCGGCCCCTGGGTCGCGATGAAGTAGTCCTTTTGTCGGTAGCCCTTGGAACAGGGGACAGAGATTAGAGTCTGCCCTCCTCTCATGCCGGTTCCTGTGCAGATGCAGGGGTTGGCTTAGGAGAACCCAGGGCCCGAGGATGGAGAGCATCTTCTGGCTTCCCCAGCTGCGCCGAGCCCCAGCGGGCACGCATGCACACGTGCACCGTGCGACAGGTCAGGGTGCCCGCTCTCTCCCCTGCAGCCCCCGGGGTCCCCTCTGAGCGGGTATGGCGAGCCACACACACACACACACACACACACACACACACACACACCGGTCCCTGCGACAGCGCCCGTGGCTCTGCTCTCCCATCTTTCTGTGTTTCGGCTCAGTTAGCCTCGTGGGGGTGGACTGGGTGTGGACTTAGAGGAAATGAATTCAAACCCAGTTCCTCCACGCAGCCCAAGCGACCTCCAGCACAGTTTTCTCATCCACAAAGGGGAGCTCTGACGCACACTCGGCCACTGTGTCCTTCCCCACCCACTCCTCGGCTAACGCCACCGTGCGTGGAGACAGCTGGTGACCATGCCCTGAATACACAGCACGTTGTCCCCGTGGAGCGGGTCGCAGACAGTGCAGGACAGAGAGCCACGCGGTGCCGGTGGGTGACCCGAGCGTATTAGGGATAGAATGGAAAAAACGCTGTGTCTTAAAAACACAACGGAAACTAGCAAATTACTTAGCAGGGCGCCTACGCTCTCTATTCCCAAAACTCATTATCCCTTCTTTTCTTTCTCTTTCTTTTTTTTTTTTTTTTTAATGCAAGTCATTCTGCTAACAAAATCTTTTGGATTTCAGGATTCCTTCCTGATTGTCGAAAGCAGTTAATTAGGAGCCCCTGTGATCACAGACGAAGGAAACATGCATCTTCGCAAAGCACGTCCGGGGCCCCCTGTACTTACATCTATAAACGAGGCGTTGATGTAGTCTGTGTATTCCTGACCCCTTTTCATGGAGAGGATCACCCGGTTGAAGTCATCTACGAAACAGGATGTGCCTTCAGTGAGCACGCACGCCAGCCCTGCCTTGCAAACTTCGGCTGCTACCAGCTTCCGAAATATAAAACTTATGAATAAAATTGCTGTGTCAAGTCAAGTCCCTGGAAGGTTTACTTTATAAAATAGGTTAATTAAATTGGCCCAGAAAATTATGTTTTGGTAGGAAAGAAAGCTCTGAAAATATTGCAGTTAACATTTTCATTTGTCATGAATTGAAGTAATTCAGACCACAACAGGAGCGTTAAGAATATCGCATTTCAGGGGCGCTTGGGTGGCTCAGTGGGTTAAGCCTCTGCTTTCGGCTCAGGTCATCGTCCCAGGGTCCTGGGATCGAGCCCTGCATGGGGCTCTCTGCTCAGCAGGGAGTCTGCTTCTCCCTCTCTCTGCCTGCCTCTCTGCCTAACTGTGATCCCTGTCTGTCAAATAAATAAATAAAATCTTTTAAAAAATCACATTTCAGGAGGGAAAGGAGTGTGGCCAGGCAGGTGGCCTGGAGTGGAGGTGGCCACAGCCACCAAGAAGCCGGGCTCTGAGGCTGCGGCAGGCTTCATCCAGCCCCAGTGCACTTTTGATGCTTGGTGACCACAAGGGCATGTTCAGGGCCTGGGGTCCACCTGCCACGAGGCGCTCCCTCTCCTCAAAGCAGACCCTCTCTCTTCCTTCCCTGCAGTTCCTCTGATCCCTGTGAAGTTCTCTGCTTCCCCCCTCAAACGTAGGCATCCTTCCTCCCCCTTACCCGGGACCTCAGTAGGCTAGGGTCCTGACGGCACCCCTGCCCATTTCCCACCTCCCCTAGGCCTAGAGCAGGACCCCTTCCCCCATGTACAGGCTTAGGGGATGACTGGATGACATGGGAATCTGGTGGCCCCAGAGTCATGGCCAAAGCAAATCTCTCCACTTCCAGGAACTGCTTCCTCTCCCGTCATCTATGTCTCATATCAGACCTGACACCCAGGACTGTCTGGGTCACCTGTCCTTGCGTCTCTTCCCAGCCCTCGCCATCACCCCCAGGAGCCCTTAACCGCACACCCAGAGGGTGTCTTGCCCTGGGCCCTGGCTCATGGAAGTGGGTGGTCAAAGACTTCCACAGGTGCCGACCCCAATCCCGCCTGTCCTGAGGGCTGAAATCCCCCAGGGCTGCCTTACATGGGATGATCTGGATGACCCTGGCCTTCTTCATGTTCGCAGGCAGGTTGCCCGTCCTCATGTTCTCCTTCATGATCCGGACATTGGTCAGTTTCTGCAGCCAAGAGCCACGTAGTCACAACACTGACACTCGCGAGCGAGCCCCTCAGCCCCGCACAGCACCTCTCTCAAGGGCATGTGTTCATCTTTCTCCTCCTCCGGCTGTTTCCTTAATCTGGGGAAAGACATCCGTGGGCACGACACCCTCCCCCACACTGCTCCCGCCTCAAAGCCCCTGATTGTTCTTCCCCTACGTCATGGCCGGGGCAGCCACCCTGCTTTTTCTGGGGTCCAGCAGGAGGGCAGTGATCGAAAGCGGTTCCTCCGACCCGTCAGCCGTCTTCCCCCGGGGTCCGTTCACACGTACCCGGAACTCCTCCTCCAGCCCGATCTTGTCGAAGTGGGCGGCGGTGCTGTGTAACGTCTGCAGGTGCTTTTCCAGAGAGGACACGTCCAGCTCGGTGTCCCCGTAGAGGTAGTACTCCAGTAACGCTTGGTAAATGAACGTGTACTGCATCTGCAGGGATACCCAGAGCACCCAGCACCCTCGCGAGCGCCCTGCTGCCCCTGGGGGCTTCCCCTTCTGCACACGTTGCCTGGGGAAGGAGGTCTGGGGGCATTCAGGCTGACAGCTATTAATAATGACCATTTATGGTGTTGAGGAAGGGGAGTAGGTCAGCTGGCACTGTTGAGTGTGCTGTCCCCGCCAGGCTCTGTTTTATTTGCACTGCATCGGGGACAGTCGTGTGGATTGGGGGTGGCCCAAGGCTCTGGGTTCTTCGCTCTGTACCGCTCACACCAGGACAGGTGTGGGGCCGGGAAAAGGTGCTACTTACGTCTGTTTGCACCATCTGAGGGCGCTGGTTGCGAATTCTGGACACGAATTCAAAGACATCGACCTTCTGCTCGCTGTGCATCATGTCCATCATGGCATCGATCACGATGAAGGTGCCTGTCCGGCCCACGCCAGCGCTTTCAGGAAAAGGGGAGATGTCCCATCGTGAGGCACAGAGCACCCCACTCCGCCCACAGCAAATGACGGGACTGCAGAGTGGACCTACCTGTGCGCCAGGACAGGAGGACAGCCCCGCCCACCCCTGATGGTCTCCCACCCCAGCCCTCAACACCCCCTTTTTTCCATCGATAAAGAGTAAATCTTGGGCGCAGCCACCAGAGGGCACCATAGTCTCAGTGAAATTATCCCAAATCCTTCTCTAGGAACTACAGAAACTGTTAAAAGGAGCGTCGGAATGATCTGTTGTAGCTGCTGTCCGTGACACGGTGCGAATCGTCTTCTTCCGTTGCCAAATGCTATCTTGCTGTCACGTGTGTAAGTGGATTTTTTGAAATGTCACACTTGAAATGGCTTTTCCGGGTTCTTTACAAAAAGGGGGTTCCCAGGCTAGGTCGACGGGCTCTTGAGCCAAGGTCAGCCGGAAGGGGAGGCACCGGCTTATGCTCTCTGGCACGAGAAGGAGGGTCTCTGCGGAGCCGTCTCCCGGCTAGGAAGCAGCCCGACTAGATTCTTGGGTTTGAGTTTCCTGCCCTCCCAACGCACGCCCCACAGCACCTCTGGGACCTCGGGTCTGTCCCCCACCACCTGCTGTCCCGGGTGGGTCTGCTGGTGGGCTGTGCATGTTTGCTCCCCAGTGCCCGGGACAGGGCTGACACTTGGTCGCGCTCATTCAACACTCGCTGAACGAGCAAACCCTCGTGAGGCAGCCTGGGGTGTGCAGTGTCTGTCGTGAGAGCGGGCCTGCCCCCTCCGGCCCCTGCAGTGTTAACCTCTGTAGCAAAAGGAAAGTCACCTCTCTAACAAAGACTCACAACTTAAAGAGTGACATCCCCCCACTTTCCCCTTTGGGAGGGTCGGGGGGAGATACTGCTCTTTCTAGTCAGTCTCCGAATCTGGCCGAGAACAGCAGCGAAGACCCTGTTCTGGGCCAGACCCCCTCATCTCAGGGGGGAAAGCAGGTCAAACACGAGGTGCCCTTTGGGGAGTCTTAGCTCTTACAGGTGCAGAGCCCCGTGAGATGCCCTGCCCAATATGTATGTGAAGGAGGCCACAAAATCGCCTAGTGCAAGGTGGTCAGGGTCCCCGGGCCACTTATGGGACCCCTCGCCTGGCCCAGGGTGCACGCGGGAGAGGCCGCCTCGCCACTGGGACAGGGGCTGCGCTTGCGTCCCAGGAAAAGCTGAGGCCAGGTGGTCCTTCAGCCAGCCTCCATGGGGATGCGGTTCCTAAGAGGACTCTGGCAGAGAATGTCGTTCCGGACGAGTGTGTCAGCGGGGATGGAAACCAGGAAGAGCCAGAGCCCTGGGCCCGACACGGCTTGGAACTGAGGCGCTCCGGTGTGAGGATGAAACTAGAGGCGGGACGTGAAGTCAACTCCACCCTGAGTCTCTGGGGAGAGGAGGGGAGTCCAGCCAGCACGAGCCCTCTCCCCCGCCTTGCCAGTTCCTGGCAGGCCCGTACCCTTCGGCAGGAATTCCTGTCATCACGTGACTGCAGTCAGGCATGCGTCCAGAACCGCCCATCTGCCCACACCATCCAGGGCGGCTCACAGGGGCCTGGGCTTGGGAGGGGAAGGACCCACCAGGGAGGAGAGGGACCTGGGGAAGCCGGAGACGGAGAGTGCCCCTCCTCCCACTTCCCAGATCCTAAAACCCCGGTGGCCAAACAGAACATTAAAGGAGGCCAGAGCACCCAGGAGGCGCAGGAGCCGGGCGGAAGTAAAACATTGCCACAGGGAGACAACCGCATGTTCAACAGCAAAGGCAGAGACTTGAGGCCACGGACGGGGACCCAGCATGAAAATAAGATAAATGGCAAGTGCAGGTGTCCTGGGGCCCTGAGGTGGGGAGGAAGTAAGCAGAAGAAGGAGAGTGGTCATTCCCTAAGGTCTCCCATGCATGACAGACCTGGACACATCAGGGACAAAGCAGGACTGAGCCTGCTCCCTGCAGCCAGCCCTGACCCAAACCCAGAGGCCTTTTCTTTATCCTCCCCCCGTGCCCACCATCCGGAGCTGAGCAGCCAGCCACCACCAGAAGCCTGAGCCAGGAAGAGGCAGCAGCGGGAAGGGTCTTGTCGGCCCCTCCTGCCAGGACTTCTCCGGCTCGGATTCTGGATCCTGAAGACAGGCTACCGAAGTCCCCACGGTCTCTGCCGCAGCAGGGCCCGGATCTCTGATGGGGTCTCGGAAGTCCCTAGGCAGGGACTCAGGCCCTTCCGTCCAGGCCTGCACCCCCCTTAAGGAGGGAGGGCCCTGCTCACCAGGCTGTCACCCTGATTACACCTGTTTTGGCCATTACAGACAAGGTCATTGGGAGGATCTTGGCACTGCCAAAGGACAAAGGGGACAAAGGACAGAAGGCACCTGCACAGGTGATCCAGATGCTCTGACTCCATCACACAGGTGTTTGGAAGAAGCCACATGGAGACTCTGGCTTCCATGAAGTCTGGGCAAGAACAGGAGTGGCCAACAAGGACCCCACGCTGGGGCCAAGCAGGACTGGCCCGCAGATCCCCGCCCCAGTACAGCTCCTGGGCGGGGCTGGCAGGGCCGGCCCCCGAGATCCTAGACGCCACCTCATTAAATGCACGGTTGCCCCAGGGTCCCTCATCTCCCAAGGGGCAGGTCCAGGACTCCCTCCCCAGCCAGGATGACAAGGCTTTCCCCTTTGATCTCCAAACTGTCTGCAGGTTCTAACCAAGCACTCACTGGGAGGACGGGGAGTCTGGCAAGGGAGCACTCTTTGTCTTTCTGCTTTTGTCTCCAAAGCCAGAATGGGCACAGGCCAGTCCACCAACTCCAAGTCCAAGGCCTTTTCTCGGACATGACCTTCTTCACCAGAAGCCAAACTGGGCATGGAGATGTAAGACACAGAGGGAATAACTTATGCCCTGCCTCTATGGTTCCACGAGTTCCAGAAGAAATGAAAATTCAGTACGAAAACCACCAGGGACACCAAGGTGTGCAAAGACAGAGGAGAACTTGCTCAGGAAAAAGGGCTCACTTTCAGAAGCTGCTTTTCCACAACCCAAGGAATAATCACAGTGTTGACAGCTTATGCCGATCTTAGCTTTGTGTGAAGTTCATCCCCGGGGCAAGTCCAGGGCCCTCCAGGATGGTCCCTCCCACTGCAGAGGAGGAGAACGCAGCTGGCAGGAGAAGGGGCAGCCCAGACCACAGAGCCAGGCCTTCAGGACTTCCGGCCCTGGACGGCTGCTCTTCACTGGGCCTGGACCGTGGCCCCCAGCTCCCCTGAACACTCTTGTCTCAACACAGGAGGCTCCCCATAGAAGTGTGGTTTCCACCTCTATCCTCAGAGGTGACTTGAGGGTCTCTGGGGGCAGGGGAGGGGAGGCCAAGTGAACCTGCCCAGAGCCTCACTAGCTCCCTCTACCTGGCCTCTTGGATTTTGTCTGTGCTGGGTATTGGGGTTCCCCCTCAGACGCCGCTAAGCAAAGGGTTCTGCTCTCACGGAGTGGGCCACACGTCCCCCCAACTCTCACCCCAAGGGGGTCTCTGAGGTGTCACTTCTGTCCCCAGTGAGTAGAGGCTGCTTCATTCCGCCCCGCCTGCCCTCCTGCCCACGCCGGCAGCGGCCCACGGGGCATGACCCACGACGGCCCCACGCAGACATACCTACAGTGGACCACGATGGGCCCGGCATGGGCGGGGTTGAGGGCCTTCACTTTCTTCAGGAACTTCAGCATCCCGATGGGGGTGAAAGGCACTCCGAAGTCGGGCCAGCTGGTGAAGTGCAGCTGGGAGATGAGCCGTGGGGCTTTGCAGCCATCAGGGAGCTGCTGCGGGAGATGGGGAGGTGTGAGTGGGGGCAAGGGCCCCTCCCCCAACACCACTCTCTGAGGATGCTCCCTCCCGCCCCCATACCCCCCCCCCACCGTCTAGACCCTGGGCAGCAAGGACATGCGTGGTGCGCTACCTGCGGGCAGGACTGGCAGAGCGGGACCTGCAGCCTGTCCCAGGCCCACGGCAGGCTGGCCTCGGGCAGCCAGACACATCCAGAAGCTGGCCCTCGGGCTCCCAGCCCCCACTGTGAGCGGGGTGGCCACGTCCCCGTCGGCCTGGCAGCCCCACTTCCTTCCCACAGCGGCGCGTCCTTTCACTCCCCACGGTGCCTTAATTTGGAGGGAGAAGATGATGTGGACGGCCAACCCACCCACGGCCTGTGAGCGCGGCTCTCTGCCCCAGATCACGGAGGGCTAGCTGGTGTACACGCAGGTGCACGTGCACGTGTGAGTGTGACCGTGAGGGACACAAGCAGGGGACAGTAAAAACGGTAAAGCTCGTCCTCTTCCCTTCTTTGCTGTGGCTTCTAGAAACCTCATCGTGCAGGTCACAACGCCAACTCCCCTTCCTCTGACTCCTGACACCATGACCTTCTGTTTTTCCCTTTTATCTATATATATATCTTAGATCTCTGCTCATCTGTTTTGGACACAGGCATCTGTATGGAAGAATGCCTTGCATTCTGTTAGGCAGGGATGGTTCAGGGATGAGCAGGAAATAAGTATGACAAACACTGAGGACGTTACAGAAATACTTTTGAGACTGTTAAAAAAAAATCCCACCTTACCACTTCGGCGTGGGAAATGACATCATGCTACTGGGCGAGAACCACCAGTCCTGGTGCCCCTCCCCCAAGTGACAACTTCCTCCACCCAAGATGGTGAGGGGGGCCCGGGGCTGCCTGAAGACCCCTGGGCACCTGTCTCCTCCTTCGTAGATCCACATCCTCAGTCCACTAAGCCCGACCCCGTCCCCTCCCTGCACTTGGCCCTCCCCAGCCCCCACTCAGCGAGAGCTCCTACAGCACCGGCGGGGGGGTGGGGCAAGTCTTCATATTAAAAAAAGTTAGACGCATATTTGCTCCTGACACTGCTCTCCACAGGACGGCCTTTCTAGAAAGCCAGTAACTGAAAGTGCTTACGGACTGTATGCAGAACTTCCGGACGGTGTAATCTACCAGAACCACGCAGTCCTCCACGCACACACGGATGTTCCCGTAGGTCCAGCATCCCTGGTCCGGCCAGTACTGCGAGCACTTCTCCTACACGGGATGGTTGCACAGAGATAACCAGGTGTGGAGGCGCCCCCAGCCCCACCATCGGCACACATCAGCTTCCCTCAGGCAGTTCCCGGAGCTGGGAAAGGGCCAAGAATGCGAGGCCGTGCAGCTAGTGGGGGGCAGTCCCGACTCTGTGCTCTGGCTGAAGCAGGGGCCCGCAGAGGACAGGTGCCCTGCACACAGAGGCCCATCTCAGTACCAGCCCTCCCTCTGGGCTTCCAGTGGCTACACGGGGAGACTGTGAACCTGCAGCCTAAGGCGGAAGAGGCCGCTGTGAGCACAGGACACAGGAGAGCGTGAGGACGCCGTCCTAACAGGACAATGTCCCCTCCCTCCTCCAGGACATCTCTGAAGCATCCCAAGGAGAATCAGAAGCTCAAAGGTGCTGGTTTGTGCCATTCCTGGCCCCCTGGGGACCCTCCAGGACCCCCTGAGATACTTCCCTTGAAAGGCCCTCACTTGGGCCTGAGGGTTGAGTCTAGGGCCCCCCACAGGGCTGTGCATGTGGAAGCTTCTCAGCCCTCGGCCTCGGCCTCCTGGTCCCGCTGTGGCCACAGTCCCCTCCCTCTGGTCAGATCATGAGATGCTGGAGCAACTGCATTTCACAACCTTTCGCCAGAATGTTGAAGCCAGGGAGAGGACAACAGAAGTGTAACCAAGTAAGAAAAGGGAACTCTATTGAGAAATGATCTCATCTGAAATGGTGAAAATCAAGATACAGAAACCGGCCAGCTCTGAGTCACAGAAATGGAAAAATCCAGTAGGAGGCTTCGGAGACAGATCAGAGAGAAAATGTCCAGTGACATGCAACAGGATGCCTGCTGCGGGAAACGGAGGCGTACTCTGAGACCCGCTGCTCCTGTGCTGGTCTCACTGGGTCTCCCTCCTCCTCACCACCCCCATCCCTGCACTGCTCAAGTGGCAGCAGGAGGGCCGCTGGTCCCAGGGAACCCTGGGGCTCCCAGGGCAACATCCTCCTTCTCTTTGGGGGCCAGGTCCTGGCCAGGCATCTGCTCGGAGCGTGGGAAGGGCTCAGCGTGCCTGCTTCAAATCCCCTGACTCCCGTCACTCTTTCCATCCACGGGGCAGGATTCATTCTGTGGGAAGGGGGTGGCCCTCTCCAGCCCAGTCCCAGCCCCCTTGGAAACAAAACAAAAACCCCGTCCTACCCGACAGGAAATGGTAACAGGAGGCTTCTTCCTGTGCCATATGGCACGTATGAAACAAATTGGTGAAGGTGGCTACCGGGAGGGGCTCTTCCCTGCCTGTCCTGCTTGTGGACCAGTGTCTGCCTTGAGCCCCAGCTGAGCTCCCCTGGCCCGGCCCACGACTTCTGTCTCAGAGGACACAGCCCGCGCCTAGCTGCCTGGGTCCCAGGCCAGTGAGTGACAGCAGGACTGGGGTGGGGAACAGCAGGGACCAGCAGGACAGAGGTCTCCCAGCACGCTGGCCCTTCCTCTCCACCTGTTGCCACCACTTTGTTCTGGCCCTCACACTGGAACATGCTAGAACAGTCTCCCCATGCCTAGCAAGTCTCCTTCTAGCCTCCAATTCTTCTAATCTGGAGAGCAAGCTCACTTTCTATAACTCAAGTCCTTCTTTCTGCTGAGAAGCCTCCCACGGGACCCGTCTCGGCCTCCCCTCGGAGGCCCGAGCCCAGTTCCCTGACGCATTTCTCGCCTTTCTCCTCCCAGCACGGCTGCGGGCCCAGCAGATCACTCCTGGCCTCACCGTCCCATCACCCTGCCGGGTGCTGCCTCTCTGGGGCTGTGTTTGGTCAAGTTCCCTCCAGCCTTAGAGATACGGTGCCACTCCGGGCCCTGCCTTGACCCATACCCAAGGAAGGGAAGTGCTACTTCCTCTGGGGGTCTCCCTCCTTCCTGCCCCCGAAGCCACAATCACTCTGTGCTCTGCCTTATTCCCGGGGGTAAGAAGGGAAGGGCTGGACGCACAAAGAAGGCCTGGCACGCCCCCCACCCCCACCCTCAGAGCCCTCTGTCCGCTGGGCTTGCTCCGCCCGCCCTGCCCACCACTGGCCCTGTGCCCCCTGCTATTTCTATGTCGCCTCCTGACACAGTTTACCTTGATCTGCTTTCTGTTTGGCGTCTGCTCTGCCCAGGGGGACAGAAATCGTGGGGGCCAGGGTCTGTGAGCTGGTTCACAGCACGCACCTCGCCCCCCGCATTGTCTGTCCAGGAGAGTGGACGCGAAGGAACATCTGTCATATTTAGGAAGTGAATCCATTTATCCTTCTTCTTTCTAGAGGTTTCAAGTTCTTATAAAGTACGTACATCCCGTTTTATTTTAGAAAAGCTCACACAGGGATGAGAGCGACATGCCTGCAATGCGCCTTGTTTTCCAAATTCATTTCTCTCGTCTGGGTAAGAAGCAGTAAATCCATCTTTAATTCTAGTCTGAGGCCCACTATATTACCAGCCTGAAAACTCTGAGGCTCTCATTTCTGAGGTCTGTGGCTCCCACCAAGGTGTGAGAGCAGTCGGCTGACCAGGGAACCTTGGCTGAGGAAAGGATGGACAGCGTGCCATTTCTGTGTCATGGTCTAGAGCAGGGAGATGCTGGGGACACAGCACATTTATTTCAAGATAAAATTGCTATGAGCCACTGGTGGGTTTTTTGCTTTTTGTTTTTTTCTCTTCTTCTTCTGTGGTGATAAGGGCGAGGAATAGGAAAAGGATGTGGTGAGCACGCCCCCCAGCGAAGCCCCAGAAGCTACAAGAGCATCCTCTGTGAGTCAGAAGGCCAAGCTCACCTCTTTCCTTTCTTTCAGGTTCGTCAACATGACGATGGTGGCGGACTTCTGCTCCCAGATCATTCTCCAGAAGTCGTTAACTGTCTCCTGTTTGGGGCCTGTAGATAGGGGATGATCCCAAAGTCAGACCTGAAGAGGGTCCCTGGGGGTCCCAGCCCCCGTCACCCTGGCTGTGGGGCCCCAGGGAAGCCACCACCGCCCTGCTGCTCCGAGGCACGAAAGCGCTGCTCAGCCGACCTGGAGATCTGCCGCTTCCCCGCCCGGTCCTGCCGCAGCACCCCACCCGCTACCCTGCTGGGGCTGGGGAGTCCTGGGAGGCTGCGCATCTGAACCTGGGGGGTGACCCTGTTCACAAGCAGTAAAGGGTATTCAGATGAGGCTCGGGTCAGCCTGTGTGTCACAGCAGCTTGTGCCCACTCTGGGGCTCATCAAGCCTGTGGAGACCAGAGCCCACTCCAGAACGGCACAGGTGTCCGTGTGTCACACACACACACACACACACACAGACTGCAGGCTGGCCGACCCGCCCTCCGTGTCTGAGCCCCTGCCCATGCGTCCCAGACCCCTGCAGCGGGCCGTACTCAGGGCCGTCCAGGGAGATAAAGCATCCCCAGAAGAAAGTCCTCTGCCCTTTGCCCTCCCTCCTGCCTGAATACAGACACAGAGCCCAGAGACGCAGCAGCCATTTTGTGACCCGGAGGAAGACAGTGACACGTCACGGAGGGTGGAGCAGGAAAACACAGAGGCCCCTCTCCTTGCAGCTGCCTCCTCAGCCCTGGGCTGCCTCCCCTGCTTACAAGGACAGAGAGAGAGGGAGAGAGGGAGAGAGAGAGAGAGAGACAGGAGCCTCTATCTGTGTCAGCTAACGTCTGTCAGGTTTTCCAACATTGTTGTCCTCTGGGTGTACGCGCATGTGCCTTGCCCTGTTTCTTGGGGAGTGTGCATTTTTGGTAAGTTCTCAAGTGATGCTGATGTGCACTGACTTCTGGGGCCTGCTCTCTGAACGACTCTTGCTGAAGACACTGGCTGTTGGCCTGCCCCGGCTCGTGGGGCGATGGATGGTAGCCCAGATCAGAAGCACACACACACACGTGCACACGCACACACACACGACACACGCACACACGAAGTGGCCTGTGGGCAAGGCTGAGGGCCTGCTGCTGGGGCTGAAGCAGCCTCATGGCTATGGCCTTGATCTGAAAAGCTACTCACACCCCCACCCCCGCCCCAAAAACAACAACCCCGTGGGAGCCACACAGAGCTCAACCAGCTGAAAGAGATACGAGTCTGTCTCGATCAACAAGCAGCCCGCGGAGACGGTCACTGCTGGGCTCCTGCGTGCCCTGGCTTTGACTCAGGCAGATGTGGAAAAGAGGTGTGTCTGTCTGTCTACACCTACACACTGTGTGGATGAGCACCCGACATGCCTGTTACACCCACACTTAGAAATGACCTCGTCCGCCATGCTCCTTATCAGTCGGCCCTGACCACAGAGGGGGACAAAGCGCCCAGAGGCTCCAACGTGTCTGCGTTCTCGAAGCTCTGGACACAGAATGAGCTTTACGGGCTTCGCACACAGATGCACAGAACGACCTCGGGATGCTTTCAAAGACGCAGACTCTAGCCCAGCTCCCAGGACACTCGGGGTCAGCAGAGCACTGCCTTGCATCGCAAGGCTCTGCGAGATTAGAGACGCAGGGACAGGTGGGACAGACGGGACAGGTGGGACAGGTGGGACAGACCGCATTCAGGCCACAGAGATGCAGCACGGCACACAGACAAGAAGCCGGAACGGAACCCCTGCATTCCGGCCGTCAGATGAGGACACGGTCGCCGTCCTCATCATTTTACCCGAATCATCTTCTGCAAGTCACAGTGAGACACTTACCTTGAGCGGCGATGAATTTATTCTTCTCTTTGTAACCCTAGAACGATAAAATCGGGTCGGTGGGTTTTCGTAATTGCCTCTGATGAAGGATTTCATTGTTGTTTGGAAGGTAACATAGTAATCACGAAAATCTTGGAAAACACAGAAATGGGAAGAAAACTCACTAGCAACTTCAGAAATTGTGCTACTTTTGATCGTCCCTCTGTCGAGTTTCCATTAATACTTGCCCAGACACACACACACACACACACACACACACACACACACACACACACACCACATTTACATATTCTTAACTGGTTAATAGATACAAATTCTACTCCACTGTGTTTTCATGATGATTTTATAATTACTGTTAAATGATTTTTTAAGTTTCAGTTAAAGTGGGTTCTTAATCCAGCAGATATGGTTTGACCATAAACCTGTCCTACTGGTCCCTCCTAACCTGTTTTATCAGTAACATAAAGAACTCTGTAACAAATTAACATAAAGAACTCTGTAACAAATGTCCTGTGTGCTTCTAGGCTTCTTAAAAATGAATCCCCGGACAGATGCTAATTCAAAAGGCCTGGTAGCATCCACGCCGTCCGTGCTATGGCCAAATGGCCCACGAAAGTTGTGATAATTTAATTCCTGGCTCTCCAGAGAAAAGTCATGATTCACACTGAGCCCCCAAATGGTCCAGACGTGCACATCATGCTGGGCAGGGGGGACAGGAAAATGGCAGACTTACATCTATGTAGGAAGCATTAATGTAATCTGAACACGGGGTTCCATCCACCTGGCTCAAAATCACCCTGGAATGATCATCTGTTTAAAAAAGAAACAACAAAACATAACACGTACATATCTTCCATCTATGGCATTAAACACTGCAAAGGACACGACCGGGTTTCCCACGGTGATCACAGGGACCTAGGAGGCGTCAGGAGACCCCGCGTGGCATGATGGTGGGAACGCATCTGTTTCACTGAATACTGGGCCTCAGCATGGAGGACAGTGCCAGATCCTAGCCAGCTGCTCAGTAAAACCCGTGGGATGACAGCAGAGGTAAGGATTCAAGTGGGGACCGCTGGATCTCCCCTAGACCCGGAGCAGCAGCACGTGCTGGGACCCTACAGTGAGATCCCCACAGGCTTCTCTGAAGCCCCAGCTGGGCACCAGTTGGTGTACTCAGGATAACCCTGGATGGGAGGACGGGGTCCCCCCTCTCCCAGGCTTTCCAGGGAAAGGACAAGCAGACTCCACACTCCAACCATCAGCCTTCAGATCTCTAGGGATGGAAAGTGGGCAGAACTCACACAGACCTGGGCTGAGCACAGGGGGGCCACCTGCCGGGAAGATTCTGGCTTGTTGTACAAGCAGTGCCCAGAGTGGCAGGGTGACCACAGAGAGGTCTGTGTGGGGTGTTTTCTCTGTGTGTGAGGGTGTGATATGTGGGTGTGTGGTGTAAGTGTGTTTTCTCTGTTTCTTTCTGAGTGTGTGTTTGTGGGGGGTGTGTGTGCACACACACGTCAGGGAGGTTTCAGCCAGGGTCCCCTTGTGATTTCGGTGGATCCTTGTCACTCCTACCTTCATAGGCCATGTCCTCCATTAAAAAAAAAAAAAAAAAAGATGAAACATTTCATTTTATGACTGCGTTACGAGTTAATATGAAGCTTAATGTAACCCAGATTGGATTACGTGTATATTATTTTCTGATTTTAAAGGAAATTAGATAGTTTCATGAGACATTAAAAGTGTTGCAGGCCCGGGCCTGGGTCTCCTCGCTGGCGTACTCCTATTCCTCCTGGGAGGAGCGATAGTGGGGTTGCCCAGACTCAGCCCAGGGCCCGGGTCAAGGGTCACAGATGCTTCTGGGGTTAGTCACGCTGTGCTGGGCACAGAGACTGGTAGAGGATGTGGGCTTCATAGGCATTTACTGCATGGATTCTGGAGAAATTCTGTATCCTCCTCTTGCTTTATCTTCCCTAGTCCCCACAGGACTGACACTAACTGAGAAGGCTGTGTTTGTGGTGTGGCTCTGGGGCAAGGACCCCAAATCCTAGCTGTTGTTGCCCACGAACCTGGAAGGCGGGCCGGCCTCAGACAACCGCTGTCTGGACATCGCACTGCTGGGCCAGATCCGTCCTGTCCTAGCATGATGGGCCAGTGAGGCTCCCAGGGAAAGTCATGACCTATATGGGGCCGTCAGGGTATCAAACCCCAAAGGTCCAGCTCAGGCACACATTTCTGTGAGACCCTCCCACTCCCAGGGGCCGACAGCCCTGACGCAGAAATAGCTCTTCCCGAACGTGCGTAAAGCTGGCTGAAAATCATCTGGTACAGTTTACGCTTTGAGAGCAACTATAGAGAGCAGAGGGCAAAAAATAGACTCCCGGTTTGATTTAGAATCTCACAGTTTCTAAGAGCTTCCTGTCTTTTTATTCTGAAAGTCACACTTCACTTTCAAAACATTATTTCCTGAAATGATCAGCTGTTGCTGTTTTTCCAGAGAAGAGGATGCTGTCTCCTGACTAGCCATCGAGGATTTCCACAGCCGGGCCTCATGGACCCGAGACCCCCTGAACCACCTCCAGTGAACCAGCCCATTCCTGTCCCGGGCCCCCAGCCGGCCCCGGGGGTATCTCTGGCCAACTCCTCAGTTTAAGGAGACGCCCCCTCCCTCAGCCTGTGCCTTGCTGATGCCGGATCCCCCCCACTGGTGATCTTTAGGGCACATCCCAAGTGTCTCCATGCCACCATCCCAGAGACCCAGTGTCCCATCCACGTGAAACACCTTACATCCGGGCAGAACGTCCTGGCCCCTGATGACTGCCAGCACCCTGCCTCCTTGGCACGGGGCGCCTGGGCAGGAGAGGGCTGGGGCTGGACCCTCTCCCAGCGTGGGAGGACGCAGGATTGGCCCTGTCCCATGTTTACACTAGCAGGAAAGGCCCACTTCCCTCCACAGCACAAGCTGGAGAACACAGCTTGGAGCAAACGTGCAGGGGGTGGGCTCTGCTGCTGGGGGAGGCAGTCCCCCACCCTGGCCCATCACCTCTGCAAAGCGGGACAGGTGCAGCTAATTCCCACACCTGGCCATTAGTCCCACCCCCACTGAGGCCTCACCAAAAATACTGTTAATTTTCAGTGTAAATGTCACCTTTTAAAAACTAGAGGGGTGGGACGTCTGTGTGGCTCAGTCGTTAAGCATCTGCCTTCGGCTCAGGTCATGATCCCAGGGTCCTCGGGTTGAGTCCCCCATCGGGCTCCCTGCTCAGCTGGGAGCCTGCTTCTCCCTCTGCCTGCTACTCCCCCTGCTTGTGCTCTCTCTCAATCTCTCCCTTTCTCTGACAAATAAATAAATAAAAAAGTAAAAGATAATATAAAATAAAAACTATGGGGGTTTAGTAAGCAAGAGACAAATGGGGGACAGGAACCTGGGGAAGCGCTTGGTTCTGACTAAGTCCTCAACCTACACATTCAGCAGCTCAATGAATAAAGTAAATGAATTAAGGAAGCTAATTAGTTAAACCAATAATTGATAATAATATTACTTTCCAAATATCCCAGTTTTTATTGGACACAAAATATCCCAAAGAACCCAAACCTCCCACCACGACTCACCTCTCACTGGACCTGGTCAAGCCCAGTAGCTGGCCTCCTCCCTTCTCTGACACCCCACGCCCGATCCTCCCAAACCGTCCCCTGCTTGTGCAGAGTCTAACGTGGGCCCAAGTCCCCTCCCCCACCCAGCGGCAGGGCCACACAGCTTCCTGACGAATCTCCCTGCTGCTCCCTTGAAGGCTTATACAAATACGATTTGGCCCAATGGCTATTTGGTTATTTTTCATGTTATCTGGATCACAGCCTCACAGGGGCCTTCGCAAACAACACATGTCAATCCTCTGTGAAGTTCGGAAGAATTATTTCTATCGAGCACTGAGAGTCCAGAGGCCACACAAACTGGGCAGACCATGGCTTCTCTGGCCTATGAAGACTCTGATCCTGAACATGGAACCAAGAGTCCACGGCCTGAAGCCCACCGCACAGGCTAGCTTCCTTGCTCCCACGGAGGCTCTGTCGGAGAAGGGAGGCTCTCTGGGCATGCCTGGGAGGCCTGGGGTTCAGGATTTAAACCTTTCCTGGCTACCGTTTTGTCAGCCCAATGGGCAAAGCTCACAGTGGGGGTCCAGCTGCACGAAGAGTACGGAACCCTCCTCGGCCAGCTTGTATAAGGGCAACTAGGAACTTCCAGGTTTGTCCTGGCACCACGGGAGGCTGTGAGAGCTGTGCGCAGGGTAGGGCCCATCCAGCCACATCCCTGGACAGCCTGGTCAGCCAACCTGGCCCCAAAGGCCTCCCCCTGGCTTCCCGCAGTGGTTGGGGTTTCTCAGCCTTCCTACAAAGTTGCCAAACCCCCAGGCATTTCTTATTCTTTTGCTTCTGTCCCTAGTCCAGGGGACCTGCTGCTGGTACCAGGAGCACAGAGTCTGAGACAAGGAGAGGGCCAGGGCCACCAGCACAAGATGGGCTCAGGACTGGATCCCGAAGGAGGGCCCCACCAGCCCGTGCAGGTGACACTCGCTTTGGCCCCTGGGCAGCACGGGTCTCAACACTAAGCACAGGCTTCGTGGCCAGACCCACCACGACAGAGGTGGCCCAGGCCGCCCGTGGGAGATGGGCATCCACACTTCCAGTGCAAACGCCAAGCAGCGGTGCGGGTGCGGGCCCCCATCTCTGAGCCCTCGACCACCATGCTGCCCCGACAGGCACAGTCCCGGGGAGCCACGAGGGAAAGTCGAACATACTCCCGATGCCACCCATCATGCAAGAAAGGTAAAATCTTACTGGGAAGGATGTTGGGGTATCTGTTTTTTTCTCTGTTTTCTTCCTTATTGGCCTGTTCAAAAGTTCCTTGTATGTGTCCAGATGGCAACGACTAGAAAACAAAACACAGCATGAAAAGGGATGGACCAGATACCGCGTGCACGTCAGCCGCCCTAACGAGCGCGGGCAGGAGGAAGACTCCGTCAGGACAAGCCCCCGCCCCCCCACCCCAGTCTGCGGCTCTCTCTGCCCGTGGGCTGTGCCTGGCGCTGGGCAGAGCCGTGACGAAAGGCACTCTGGCTAGCAGGCCAAGGTAGCCGTGGACATAGTGATGACCCCATGGTTGGACCCGAAGACACATGAAGTCAGGGACTTGCCCGGGCATTGACACCCAGTCCCCTGGAGCCACATGTCTGGACCCAAAGCAGGCCCACTACAAATACGGCCGATCACAGGAGAGCCTGGGACCAGGAGGGGGCAGAGCAAGGGCGTCTGTGCAGAGGGGCTGGGAAGGTACTCTCTGCCTCTGGGCTGGGCTGAGGGACGGGCGCAGTGATGCACCAGGAACTCAGCCATGGGGCCTCTGCTTGCGACACCGTGTGCTCGTGGTCCGGCAGTGAGAGCTCAGAGGGGCCCCGTGGCGACTGCCGCCCCCAGCCCCCACCCCGGGACCAGCACGAAGATCCCCAGGGGGCCTGTGTGCACCCTTGGCTTCCTAATCCCCCGGCCTCAGATGAGGACACGAAGGGGCCACTCGGACCCTGTAACCGATGTGACGCTCAGTGGATGCGAACCCGGGCTCCCTGACTTCCATTCCTCGACTACTTGGGGCCCCTCCCATCCTGCTGGCTGGGGCCGTGCTCCTGCATTTGGGGGCTGCTGGGCCATCCTCTGCACTCAGATGAGCCCCTTTGCAGTGCACAGAGGGTAAGAGTCTTTTGAACCCCCACATCATGCCTTTCAACATTACCCTAAACATTGACCGGACCGGGAACCCCAGCAATTCAAGCACTAAGTGAGTCTTTGCAGCATCTTTGGTGTGTCAGGCCCCGCAGGAGGAGCTGCATCAGGGGCCCCGGCCGTCACAAGCGATCCTGAGATGACACAAGCGTCACCTCTATTTTACAGATGAGGAAACCTCCCCCCACGGCTGCGGCAGATGCGGCTGGAATGCCCTGGCTTGCAAGGGGCAGACATGGGGCCGGGGTCTGCTGTCTGGACTGGAGCGGGCAGAGGCCACGAGGAGGGTGCTTCCTTCTTCAAGTATAAAGTCCCAAGGGCATGGGGGCGGGGCTCACAGTGCAGCCCAGACTCTAGGCTTGCTCACCCCGTGAGTCAGGAGGGACGAACTTGCCACACACAGGTGGCCAGAGCGTCCCTCTCCCGGATTACAGGGCTTTTCCATCCCTGACTCAGCCCCTGCCAGCCAGGGTCATCTTTTCCCCATTTTGGGGTCACCACACTGGCTGGCCACGGGCAGAGGACCTGCTGGGACCGGTGTGGAGGCCAGCCTGGGGGGGGCAGATGGTAGGGGTGCTTGGGACCAGCACCTTCTCTGCCTAGAGTTTCTGATTCTTATCAATGCCGTCTTGACACTGACTTCCTGGACCCGCCCTGGACAGGGAATTGGTGATAACGTTCTACAACTTCTCATTGTCTACACCTGAAAGCTGTTTTTGACCTCAGCCCTGAAAATAAAAATGAGGTATGTTACTATGATGTCACGTGTTCGTCAAAACCCGCACAACGGATGGCGCAGGAGCCCCAGCTCTGGACTTGAGAGCATGACAACACGTCAGCGTGAGTCACCGTTTGGAGCGCACGGAGCGCACGGAGGCAAGAACAGCCAGAGGAACCCATGTGCAGGGAGGGGCGAGCACGTGGGGACCCTCTACCCCCTGCATGAGTTTTCTGTAAGCCTAAAACCACTCTACAAATCAAAGTCTATACAAATAATACATTACAAAGACAGAGAAAAAGAGGACCCGGGATGCCTCCCTCTTCCTTGGAAGGTGAACGGCTACAGCGTGGTGGGTAGAGAGGCCGGAGGGGTCTCGGTGGCGAGCGTGGACCCAGCCCTGCCACCCCTCCCCACCACAGGGACCTGAGACCCTGAACACGGAGCTGGGGTGGCGACACTGGCTTCGTGGGCGGCGCAGAGGGGCACCTGGTGTGAGAGGCCCAGTGCTCTGCGTAGGGAACACGTCTCCGTAGCCCAGCACACAGAGTAACAGCCGCGAGGGGCTGGCCCATCCCTTTCTCCTGCTGTCCCTGTGCCCATGGACCCTCGACTCCGAGCTGCTCATATGGCACAGGGGAAGCAGGACAGCACCCGAGGGAGGGCTCCACCGTAACTGGGTCACCCCTGCGGTGCCGGGCGTGAGCCGCACGTGTGCTAATTGGTCACCAAATACCATGACTGATTGTCCAGTTACATACAGTGGCCGAAGGAGGTTTGTTTGTTTGCTCCCTCAAGGCGAGATTTCATGTCCATGAACACATGGGAAGAGCTCCAGGTCCCACCCCTTCCCCTTCCTCCATGCTTAGCATTTGGGGAGGTGGGGAGAAGGGCCGAGAGGTGCGAGGTGGGAGCTGTTCCAGCAAGCTCTGGGGGACAGGTCTGGTTTGCATGCCCTGTCGGGCCCTCTCCTAGCGGCCCCGCCCCTGTGCCTTTCCACAACGGTAATGACAGGCTGCATCCGGGCCTTGGCCTGGGCTAGCCTCCTGGTCTGAGACTGGGAAGATTCTGTCTGGGGAAGTGGGCTATTCTGGGTCTGAATGGCGCTCCCGTGATGGGGTTTAATTGGGAGCCTGGAACAGGTTTCCCTGGGAGAGCTCTTGCGCGTGGAGGGGTGGAGACTGAGGTTAGGTGTTCCCAGGAGGGGTCCTCGGAAGCATGGCAGCCCCAGCCCCCTCTTGTGCAGACACGCGGCTAAGCTAGGCCCACGACTACTTCTCTTACACATTAGGACACTCCAGGGGATGTCCTGTGGCAGGCAGCATCCTTATTTTATAGGTGAGTAAACTGAGGCAGGCAGAGGTTAAGTAATGGCCCAAAGCCCTCCAGGCTGTTAAGAGATGAGCTGGGCCAGGAATCCAGGCAGGCCAAAGCCAGCGTCCCCTCCCTGGCGGCTCCACCCAGCTGACCCCCGTGCCAAACGCTTTCAGTCCACTGAAGCTCTGGGTCGGCAAATAAACACATCCAAACTCGTCTGGATGGACGACTCTGAGACTCGTCTGTCCCTTCCACAGTTTCTGGGACTGGAACTCAGGACAGCGGGCGCCAAGGAGGGAGATGAGATGCAGTCGTCCAGCTCAAGTGTGGAGCCAGACCTGGGCTGGTCCTGGCAGGCTCCTGGGCCCTGACAAGGGGAACCCACATAAACGTGGCTGAGGACCCGGCGGCTCCCACTCGTGAGAGGAGCCAACGGGTCCAGAGAGTACTGGCAGCTGGTCCCAGGTCCCCCAGCGCCAGGCCCAGGCCCTCCTCCCCTCTGCTTATCTGCCCACCCCGCCCTGCACAGAGGCCTCCAGGGGCCACCGGGAAGCCACTCAGTGGGAGGGGTGGGGCAGGGCGAGAAGGGTAAGGCACCCAATTTAAAGTGGTGCCCCCAAAATCAAGTAAAACAAAATTCCAATGCCTTTGAATATTTAATTTCTTTCTAAAGTCAAAATCAAAGCCAAAAAAAAAAATCGTTGATGACCCATTCATGAAACTTTTATATACTGTCAGGATGGGTAACTGCGGAGACAGGCCACGTCGGAGAAACCTGTCAGCACGGCCTCGTCTTTATTCGCAATTGCGCTACTTCGCTCAGCATGGATCGTTCACGCTGATTTTGACATATTTGCTTGTTGCCTTAAATGTTATTTCTCCCGAGGAATGGGAGGTTTCTTTGTGCCTGGGGCAACCTGCCTGACCCTATTTCTGGCCCTGCTCCGTCGGAGTGGCCCTCACTCCTCCCTGAGACGGCAGCAAAGCCCGCTGCTTCTGACCACGGCTTCCTGCTGGCCCGGCCGCCCCCCCACCGCGTGCAGAAACCCCAGTGCGAGGGCAACTGGGACCAGGCAGGAGGGGCAAAGTCTGCTGCAAACCTGGAGAGTTTGGACATGGGGAATTCGCTTCGCTCATGCGGCTGACAGATTGCAAAACAATATGGCTTAGAGCTGTCTTTCAACATGACCTAATTTCTCAAAAAAAAAAGTGGGGGGGATACATTTGGAAACAATTAAAAGGAAGCAGGATAAAGGCGGACAAGGCTTGGGTTAAAAAACAAGCCAAGTGCAGGTGAAATGCTCTGTCACCTCCCATACCCTCACCGGACGCTTCCTTGTGAAACGTCCCCTGGGCTGAAGCAGTGTCATCTTTGGGTAAAACGACCGCACAACACTTTGCTCTTTACGAAGCCCGCTGTCGGAGCCTCGCAGGGAGCCGTGAGGTCCCTAAGATGGGCCCCTCTGCTCCCAAGGCGCACCCCCGCGGTGGAGGCCAGCGGAACAGGTGCAGCGGACCCACGGGCCACAGCCGGTCAGCTCGGCCCCTCGTCCTGCGACCTCCACGCTCGGCACACGGCTGTGCACGAAACCAGGAAAATGCATAAAACGAAACTCAAAACACAGTTAAGGATCAACTGTGAGCAGCTAAACCCAAGAAGATTCTTCCCGGTGTCTGTCTTACCTGCCGGAACCCCCACACCCCACCCCTTGTCTCTCCAACACATTCAGGAGTCACAGGACATTGACTGTAACGCGAGCAACACGGAGGACCATGGTGAACACACGTCCGTAGTCTTGTTGAGTCAGGAGAATCGGTTTGCTACCATGGGGACTGTCCTGACGGGCATCACTGAGGTCACCGAGAAGGTCACAGTAGCTGAATGAAGGCAAGGGTTTGGAGCAGACCTCAAACCGAAGGGCTCTCAGAGGCAGAGTTCACGGCCCCCCAGGGAGACCCACGGCTGCTTAATTCATGCTCTGAGCAGGGTCAGAAGAGGCCCATTTCCTTTGCCAGCGAGATGCGTAAGCTCTTCGAAGCCCATGAAAGGTGGGGTGGGGCTCCCCGCTTTCAACACGGAACTGTCCCACCGCCGCCTGCTCAGGCCCTGGTCCTCCATGTTCACAAGACTCCCAAGTCTCCGTCATGCGGGACTTTAGGATCCGGCAGCCCGAGTGTTAGCGCTGGAAGGAGCCTTCGGGAACATCTCCCTCAAGAGTCCCATCTTAGGAAGGAGCAACAAGGGCGGGGAGACGTCTTGCAGCAAAAATCAGGTCTCCAGGAACCCGCTTCGGGAACAGGGTCCTGACTGATGCAAGCACCCGTCTTCCGGCGATGGATCCTGAAATACGGTACCACCTGCCCGCGTATTCGACCCCAGGACAAGAAGACAGAGGACCCTCCCCACTCACATTGAACTCCTCCCGAAAGCGCTTGCAGTCATCTGCGGAGCGGACTCGGATCTCCTCCTCCAGGTGCGCCACAGGGATGGGAAAGTACTTCTTGGGCCCGGAGGGGGACCTGCTGAGAAGCATCACTCTTTGTTGCTCTGTGGGACCAAAAGAAACATGGGGGCCACTGAGCCACATTCCCGGACAGCTGGCTCCTCAACCAGATGGACTGATAGCATTCCTGGAGGACAGACACAGCTGTGTGTATGTGGGGGGGAGCTCACTGCTCTTAGATCAGGTAGTCCGGGCTGCCGGGGAGGGGGTCTGAGCACCTGAGTGCGGAGATCTGTCCCCTGTGATACACCCACACCACTTACAAATAGAGGCGTTCCTCAGGGTGGGGGATGGTGACCAGCTCCCACCCACCACAGGCGCCTTATTTCAGTCCCCTAGCCTCAGCTCCTTCTGCAAAGGATTTGGGCAGTTTGCCCGTCAGCTCAATTTTCCAGGACTGAAATAAGGAGGATGATTATGTTAATAAACTAGCAAGAATCATTTTGGTTTGAGTTGGGAGGAGACCAGGAATCGGTTAGGACATGAGTCTCCATCAGCCTTGTCTTCTTTGTGACACACACGGTCCTCGATGCGGGCAGCCCGTAAGCTCCAGGAGAAACAAGGCAAACACTGCCCTTGCTCGGCAGTGAGCGCGCAGGGAGGCACTGGGAAGGGCTGGCTGCAGGGCAGTTCCTGGACAAACTCCTTCCATCAACTCAGAGTGAGACAAACGGAGAAATCCCTGGCATGTGCTTCCCTCCCCGGAAAACGCGCCGATATTCTCGACAGGGTTAACATGGAGCCTTTGCTGTCGTGCCTGCAGAGGGCCTGTCCCCACCTGCAGCGCCGTTCTGCAGCCCAGCTGAGAACTCCTCCCCGGGCTCATTCCTCGGAGAGAAGATGTGTCAGAAGGAGTCTGGCGGGGGCCTCCGGGGCTCACCAGCCACACCTTCTTCCCTCCCATTCAGGCTGCTCAAAGGTGCTGGGCAGGGAGACGGGGCGGGAAGGGGGCCCCTGGAGGCCACGTTAGCACCGAACAAGGTACGCCCGGCCCCAAGCCTGAGAAACTGCCCTCGAGCCCCTCCCGAGTCCGTCCCCGCTGCCGCTCCTGCCACCGTGTCTGAAGTCTGATAGCGTGTTTTCCCTCCTAGCATGGAACAAGCTGGCAGCACGCGACCAGAGGAAGTGACAGCCACTGGTGTGAACCAATACTTTTGAAAGCTTTTGCCTCAGACAACTTTCCCGGCCATCTGGATGTGTGGGGGACAAAGAAACAACGTGCCTTGTAAGTCGCATTAACGCTTTCTGAACTGGACTCAGAGCGGAGAAAGAAAGGTCTGGAAGGCCCCCCACCGACAGCAACCATGCCCGCTACACATACACACATATCGGCTTCCTTTTTGCATCGCGACCCGAAAACACTGCAAATTTCAGGGAAACCCTTCAGAGCGTTTTAGAGTAAGAACCAGGCCATCTCGTTCTAGAAGGACTATGAGGGCTTACTGAAAAACGTTACATGTCAAAACCCTGTAAAAAACGACAGGATGTGAACAGCGTTTCCAACAGAGCCACAAACTGAAAGCAAGTGTCTGTTTCCCACCAGAGAGAAATGGAGAAAAGTCTTGAAATGGTAAAATTCTACCATCGTAAAGGCTAGCGTCAAACCAGGGAGAGCGAGACGGGAGTCTCGAAGCTGAGGGAGTTTAACATTTAAAACAAAAGGCAGGGACGCCTGGGTGGCTCAGTTGGTTAAGCAGCTGCCTTCGGCTCAGGTCATGATCCCAGCATCCTGGGATCGAGTCCCACATCGGGCTCCTTGCTTGGCAGGGAGCCTGCTTCTCCCTCTGCCTCTGCCTGCCATTCTGTCTGCCTGTGCTCGCTCTCTCTCCCTCTCTCTCTCTGATAAATAAATAAAAAATCTTAAAAAAAAAAAAAAAAAAGGCAGACAAGGGCCCCCGGTGAGGTCAGAAAGAGCACAACACCCACCGCAGCCCCCGCCCCCCCTCCCCGCAGTACCTTGTTCTTCCAGGATCCCGTTGGGCATCTTCTTGTCATTGGCGCTGACCACGGCTTTCCTCTGCTTCCTGAACCTTGGAGACACAGACCAGTTAGCTCCGGGCCCGAGGGCATTTCCCAGACCACAGGGACCTTGCACGGCGATACCCACCAGGTGAGCCGGGAGAAACTCTTCCTGCTGCTCATGGCTGGGCCGAGCCACCCTGGCCTCCGGTCCCCAGCCCCGCGGGTCCCCAGTCCCTCCCGTCACCAGCCCCGCCACCCTCTGTCTGGGCCCACACCCGCCCTGCAGCCTCGAGCAGCTCATTTCCTCTTCAGAGCTGGTCGGGCAAGTCCGCCCCTGCCCCGAGGACACTCCTACCTGAAGAAGTAGGCGGCGAGGAGCAGGAGGAGGACGAGCAGCATCAGAGGTAACAGAAGCCAGGCCAGCAGCGGCTGCGGTGCGCCCCGGGCGGGAGGGCCTGCAGGCGGAGCCAGGCCCCATTGTAATGGGAGACCCCAGGCAAGGACTCAGATAACAGGGAAAGTGGGGTTTGGGCAAGGAAAGATCCCCAACACTAGGCTGCATTTTACAGTTTGCAAATCTGTTGCCCCTCTGTCCCATTCAAACTTCTTCCCTGATATCAGAACCTTCTTCAGCTCTTCTTGGACCCCAGCACCACACTTGAGAGTCTGCAAAGCCCGGCACCGGCCCCATCCGACGCGCTCCCCATTGAAGAGATGAGTGGTTTTGATCCACGCAAGGGAGCTTGAACTGAGGCCCTGGTGGCTTTGTCCCAGACTCCCAGACTCCCAGAGGGGCAGTGAAGGCACAGTGGGGAGCCCCTGACCCTCAAGTAACCTGTTACCCCGCGTTCCTGGGGCACCTGAGGACGGTGTGGGATGAGTTGCCCGCTGTTCTGTTCTGAGGACAGCGTGGGGAGCTCCCAGGGCCTCGGGCAGGAGCTCAGGGCACGGGGTGCAGCCTGGGCCTTGGGTCAGGTGGTCTGTGGCCAGGCCACGATCATGTCTTCTGGAGCTTCAAGCTCCCAGTCCTAGTGGTCCAGGCTGACTTTCCTCATTCAGAAGGTCGCATGTCCTCAGGCCAAAAGCAGCTGCCTTGTGGCTCCCTGGGACCGGCCCAGTGAACCCCGATTCTGAGGGGCTCTGGTGGCCTCGCTCCCACCCTTCCCCCTGAAGTTCTGCCTGAGCCCCTGCCACCCCAGACTGCCGTGCTGCCCTCTCCTCATCAAAATGGATCCGCTCCCAAGGAGCATATCAAATGCCTCCTCCTCCAGGAAGCCCACTTGGCTTTCCTCCTGTGGATCCCAAAGACTATAAGCACAGACCCCACTCTGCTGGAGTGAACTGGCCCTGGGGGGTGACTGCCTTCCCTCAGATTCAGTGGAAGCCCCTCAAAGGCAACAACTCAGCTTCCTTGGCTCTGAATTCCCAGAAGCACCAAGCACAGCCTTGAGCCCAGTGGGGGCACCGCAGGCCTTCAGCCTCCCTCTCCCACACCCCAGTGCTCGTGTATTCTAAAGGTCTTACAGTGCATCTCATGTCCCAGGTGTGAAGCAACCTCCCCCAGGGCCTCATGCTGACTCCCGTCCCTGTAAGCAGCTAACGCAGGTATTTCTAATAAATGACAGCATGTCAATGACTCAAGTGACCAGCTGATGCAGAAGCGCCCTGGGGGGCAGTGGGTCTGTGAGGAGAAGGGGGCCAACTGACAAGACACCCTCCTTCCAGGCTGAGCCAATGCCTCTCCCCTCTGACTAGCAACCTCACCAGCCAAGCGAGAGGGCAAAGCCAGGGTGACCCAGGCTGAGCCGCTAAGAGCCCTGAGTCCTCTCCTCTTCCCCACCCCCTCCACTGCAGAGCTCCCCGGGGAGCAGATCTGGCCTGAGGCTCCCACACTTCCGCATCCAGTGAGTACCCTCCCTGCTCTGCTCGGGCACTGGCGCCTACTCAAGTACAGTCTGATGGGGGAGATGCCTGACACCAAGGGGCAGAGCTGGGCTCAGCCCCACACCCCAGACAGGGCTCTATCCCTGCCCTGCCAAATGCAACCACAGAGTGTGGGCGGGCGCCCTTCTCCTCCCCCAACTTCTGCATTTGCCCAGAGGTCAGGCTGTCCCAGCTCAGCTCCCATCTTGGCGGTGACTGCCTGGCTAGCTCGCCCGTCTGAGGACTGGGGGGACCTGGCCTGACCTGCAGGTCTGAAGGGCGCCTGGACCACAGACAGACCATCCCTAGGGTCAGGAGGCTCCAGGGTCTGGCCTCCGGGCTCAGGCTGCCTCCAGTAAAGGCTACGGTTACAGAGGTGGATGTCTCCACAGCACACCCTTGAGGACCCAGGCAGAAGGACCCACAGACCTGGCGTGGGGCTGTGTGCAAGGCAGAATCTGCAGATCACAAGGACCCATGTCAGCAGCTGCCTCTTTCCGGAAGGCAGAGATCCGGCAGGAACCCTCAGGAGCTGGAGGGCCTGACGGGGCCTGGAGAACTGAGTGCCCCCCCCCCCACCACTAACCAGTTCCTCCAGCTTGCCAAAAGAAGAAATTCATATTTTCATGTAAAAAATGATCTGATTTTTAAATATAGATAAGTAATGCAAGCTAAATGCAGTTTTTGAAAAATACTACGGTCTAGAAAAAAAGCCTCTACAGGCCGTGTCCCCTGTGCCAAGTGAAATGTGCAAAAAACAAAAAGAAACGGATGACGTTGGCTATCGGCCAGCTCTGTGACTCGCCTTCCTTGTTGGGCCGTCTGTCCTGGGAAGCTTCTGCGCCAGCACACACACGCCTGCTTGGACGTCCACTTTCTGAATAACCTGAGTTTTCAATGGACATTTAGGTTGTTTCCAACTCTTTGGCTGTTAAAACTTTCCGTCTCGTATCTTTATCTCGGTGTATCTTGAAAGTGCTTCTGTAGAAGGCTCCGGAAGGGGACCCTGTGCCTCTGTGTGCGCACACAGTGCATTGTAGCAGAAACTGCTCGAAAGCCCCCTGCAGCATTTCCAGCTTCCATGCTCGCCTCGACTGGGTGATGGAGTGATTTCTCCCAGCTATGAGCAATCCTCTTAATTTTTGTCAGTCTGATAAGTAAAATAATCTGCATTTCCCTACCTTCTATAGAGTTAAACATCACCTCATGATCAATAAAGCATCATCAATTCGATATTTGCATTTGGCTCGGTCACAACCTCCACCGTTTTCCTGTGTTATCTATTTCTTATTAATTTTTTAGGAACCCTTCCTGTAACAAGGACAGCAACATTTTATTACACTGTGAATCTTCACCCTCAGCTCCTGTGTAAAGGAATGTCTCTTGATGATTATTTAAAACATTCTGTTCGATGAACAAATGAGATGATTTCTGGTTAACTGGTACACCGGGGCGGTGCGCTGGGATTATCCCAAATAATCCTTCTTTCGGGCAACAAAGTTGCAAAGGGCACCTTCACACAGTCAGGCTCCCCCCCTCCCTGGGATTCTAGGTCAGGGGAGCCTGTCCACGTGGTAACACCGAGACCTTGAAGTGGGGCCACTGCCGATTTCCCTCCTGGTTGTGTGACCAGCAGCCACCGCCCTGCCCAGAAGGCCCCCAGCAGAAGCAGCACAGAGCTGAGTGTCACATCCGTTCTGATGGGCATGAGATCTCACCACAGTCCCTCTCCCTGAAAGGAGCCCCCAACGCCCACAGACATCTCATGAGCCAATCATTTCACTTTCAAGTGAACTGAGGAGGCTGAGGGGTGAGGCTGAGTCACCCCGCCCGACAGATGTCCTCTCTGGAGCGCCCACACAGCCTCACGTCGCTTCTCCGCTTTGGGCCAACGACGTTCTGCCTGGTAGATCTGTTGCTGTTGTTGTAAGCGCTGCTGCAGGTGGTGTCCGGCCTCGGGCCAGCAGCAGCCGGCTTCTCTCTGCGGGCTGCAGGGACACACTGTCCTCGGGGCGGGTCTGGACGGTCCGGGCTGGGGAACAGTGCCAGCGACCCCTGCGCCCCGGCTCCCGGAGACCAGCTGGCGGTGATGTGGGATGACAAATGCAGTTTCCATGTGCTGGGAGCATCTGTCTTTCCTTTCATGTGGCTCTAGATTTCTCTGGCTTTCCATGCAAGGACCATGCTATGCTTGCCACCCCCTGCTGGGGGTGGGCATCAGAGACTGAGCCCCACCTCTCCCTCCTCTTGGGGACTAAAGATGCATTTGTAGGACATGTGTGGGGTTAGAAAATCATGCAAAGCTCCTGAGCTGGATGGATGTTAAACCCTTGACAACAGCCCAAATGGCACCACTTCCAGTCACCTCGCCCAGGCTTTCTCTTCCAGAGGGATGTTGAACATTTTTGTTTTCCCAAGGCCTTGTGATAAGCATTTCTTGTGTGTGTGTCAACTTAGTTGGGTCACGAGCTGCCAGATACTTGGTCAAACATTGTCCTGGGTGTTTCTGGCAGGGGGGTGCTTTTCAGATGAGAGTCAGCATTTAAAATTCGTGTCTCAGGAAAAAAAAAAAAAGATCACAGCCCCTCCCCCCATTGCAGATGGGCCTCATCCAATCAGTTGAAGGCCCACATAGAATAAAAGTGCCAGGCGTTCTGTGAGTAACAGGGAATTCTTTCTGCCTGATTGCCTTCCAACTGGGACATCACTCTCTCTGGTTCTGTAGCCACTTGCCAGCCTTCAGACTCAAACTAGGACACTGGCTCTGTGTATTTTGGACTTGACAACATCCACAATTGTGTGACCCAATTCCTTATAATAAATATAACTACAGATACAGACACAGGTGCAGATATAAATGAAAATATAAATATTTATCTATGGATTCTGTGTTTCTGGAGAACACTAACCAATTCACCAAGTAATACCGTATCAGAGAAGTCCTTGAGTTTTATGTCTGGGAGTCTCAGGAATGGAGAGGGAAGGGGGCACGGAGAAGGCATATGGGGACTGGCAAGAGGCTCTGAGGCACCCTTGGGGGAACAGGTCTTACTGGTTACAGATTCCTACTACCCTGGCCACGGGCCGGAGCTGGCAGCCAGATGGGCCTCCGTCTACCAGGGAGGTGTGGCCCAGGGACCCCGTGTCCAGTCCTTGGGGACCCTGAAAACACCAGCTGGGCCTCTGTGTTGGGCAAACATCCAAGGAGGAGAGATCAAGGGACACTGAAGAGCCAATGTCTGGGCCGTCAGAGATTGGCCGGGGGACAGACAGCCTCCTCGGACGGGGTCTCCTGCCAAGCGCAGCAGCAGCCCCATGGACGAGCTCCTGAACCCGGCTGGTTATCACCCTAATCTGCACTGCTGAGTAGCGGGCACTGCTACGACCTCCGTCTCACAGACAGGGACACTGAGGCACAAAGAGGTTCAGGGTCTTACTCCGGATCACTCGGCCAATGAGCGGCCAGCAGAGCTAGAACTGAACTCGGGCCACGTGTCTCGAGAGCCTTCGCTCTCACTGCCACTCCTCCTCCCGCCGCCGCCTCCTCTAACCTTTGCACGGCATGTATCTTATTTCATTGATGTAAAATTTACATACTACACACTCACCCGTTTTAAGCCTACGATTCAGTGATTTTCAGCTAATTCACAGATTTTTTTTCAGCATTCCAGAACATTCCCATCCACCTCTCGGCCACCTGGGGTCATTTGGTGTTTGACCCCAAGCCTGGCCCAGCATTCCTGTCCCTTCTCTGGCATCAGCTTCTCTATTCCGGGCATCTCCCTTCAATGGAGCCACACAACACGGGGTCTGGTGTCTGGCTTCTTCCACTGAGAGGGTTTCTGGGGTTCACCCATGTCTGTTCACTCTTTCCTACCCCTAACTTTAAAAATATGGGAAAGGCAGGAGAACAGAGCAATGAACCCCTGCGTGTCTGCCACCCACCTTTCTGATCAGGACTAGAAGGCTCTGTTGTTCCAGCCTCCCACCACCACCTGCTCCCCATTTGCTCTTTCTCGAGTCGCTCCTGGACCTCACAAGGACGTCAACATGCCTCTCTAAAATGTAAGGGCTCTTCTTCCAAAAGTATAATCTAACCACTATACCAGTATCTTGCCCAAGAATCTTAATGCTAACTTCTCAACTGCAGCAATGGTCATGTCAGTGGGTCAGTATCCCCTGTGGACTCATCACTGTTCCTTCAGGCTTGTTTCAATCAGATCCCTAGGAGTGGGGTTCAGGAACAGTCACTGCTGCTCTCTCGCCGCCCACCAGAGCTGACACCAACCATCAGCACAGGGTCGTGTTTGCTGCCCCCGGACCGTAATTTGTTCTGCTCCAATTCCGCACAACTGGCCTGTCTGGCCAGCTGGTGTGGACGGAGTGACGTGAGAGATGCTCTGCTCGCTGAGGAAGTCAGCTGCACCCTGCGTCTCCTCCCTCAGCCATGTCATCCCAGTCCGAGAGCCTACCTGGAGGGGCAGGGGAGGGCCAAGGAGGGGCATGCGGCCGGGGTCTCACCTGAGCTTGTCGAGGTCCAGTTGCTGGTGGTCTCGTTGCCCTTGAGAGCCCTGGCGAGCGGCAAGCTAACACTGGCCAGCAGGAGCGGACAGAAGGGCTCCATGGCAAATCTGCAGGAAGCAGGGACAGCCTCAGAGGTGCCCCCCACCCGTCTTGGGTGGCCGGGCCCCCCGCTGAGAAGGGCCACTCATGGAGGACAGGGCGGACTGGGGACAGGATGCCGGTGGGCGTGCTCTGGAGCACTGGGTTGGGAGGCGGGTCTGGGGACACTCCCAGCGCGGTTTACTCCTGCACTAGGGAAGTGATCTCACCTTGGGACGAGAAAAGCTAGTAACTCCAAGAGCTGTTCCCACATCAGAAAAGCACGTGCAGTTCAGGTTAATTTTCTTTCTTTTTACTTTTTAAAAGATTTTATTCACCCATTTGTTTATATCCAGACAGAGAGACAGAGAGGCAGGGGGAGCAGCAGAGGGAGAGGGAGAAGCAGGCTCCCCGCTGAGCAGGGAGCCCGATGCAGGACTTGATCCTAAGACCCTGGGATCATCACCTGAGCTGAAGGCAGACACTTAACAACTGAGCCACCCAGGTGCCCCAATTCCCTTTCTTGTGTGTTTGTCTGGTTTTGCAGGGAGAGGGGAAGTGAACAAGGATGCGGAGGTGTCCAGGAAGGGTAAAGTTTGAAAATACCAGATCAGTGATTCTGAAAGGCCGCTTCACGGAGCCTCAGCGAGGCCCTTTACCCACATACCCACAGCTTCTGGATTGCCACATGGAATGATCTGTTCAATATTTCGGGTACATTCTATGGTGTCTGCTGTGACATGGGTGTAGCATTTCTATTCTGCATCACGACAGCCCAGAGAAGAGCACCCCCCTTGGGAAGAACTGCGGGCTTGGGAACTGCGGGCAGGTGGTCATAGGGGTGGGGGGGCTTGGAAGCGGGGAGGCCCCCCTGCACAGAGTCCACCTCTGCTGTCCCCCTGGCCGCAACCACAACCCGTACCCCCGGCCCTTATTCTGAGTGCAGGTCTTTCCCACACTCTGGAGCCTGATGGAGCCTCCAAAGGCCAGCCCGTCCCCCCGGGCCTGAGATGTTAACAGTGAGAATGGGGATGGGCCGGCCTGCCTGGTCAGTGTTCCTTCGAGCCCTGTACTTCCTACCACTCTCCTGAACTCCACGCGTGCCTCCAGGAACACGGCCTTGCCTCCCGTCTGAGACCCCAGGTGAGGCAGAGGAAAGACCCCTTGTCCGCCAGGAGGGGCCACCATCAGTTCCTTTCTGATGGAGTCATGTGGGCACGCTGGGGACGGAGGTCAGTCTTTATTGGGTGGGTGGCTAATGCGATGAGGTTCAACACAGGAAAATGTTCTTTTACCCAGACCTGTAAGGCCCACCTCAGATCTCCACTTGGTGCCCCATTTTTCCAAAATAGCCTTGGATCCTGAGGAAATGTGGCATCGACCTCCTGGTGGTGGAGAGGGAGACTGGCCCCCAGAGAAGGGGCACGGCCACTGGAGCCGAGGGAGACCTTGCAGTGGTGATGGTGATGCGGTAGGTTGAGGGGTGGGCTCCCTCCTGGGCTCCCTCCATCCCGCACTCCCTACTCCACTCCATGGTCAGCCTGGTTGCCCGTCCGCTCACACAGGACTTTCCTGCAAAAGCCTTGCTGACGCAGACAAATGGACCGAGGCCCAGAAACACCGTCCCTTGTAATTAGAGGAGACATCTGAACGAGCGCAAAAAATCGTTGTCATGTTTCAGCTGAAACAGAACCATTTTGAGCTGCAATTATCCCGGGACGGTGACAGCCACAATCCATCCTTTCACCTCCTTCTTCTTGTTCCTTTACCAAATACATTTTAGACTTTTAAAGTGAGCCACACACATACACACGCACATGCACACACGCACACTACACGCACACATGCTTGTGTCCGGGGAGCACCTGCCAGCACCAGGCCCTTCGTCTAGGCACTGCTCTCACAGTAACCCCCCAGGACTGAGAAACTGACCCAACATCGGGGCAGAGGAGATGGAGGAGTCATGATTCGAACCCAGGACGGCCAGAGCCAAAAGCCCTCAAGCCCTGACGGGCAGCTGTGCACAGGCTGCATTAAACAGTCTGCTCCCGAACAGCGCTTTTACGTAACTGAATAAGCTGCAGAGTAATTGAGTAGGAAGCACCCACTGGTTTAATCCGACTCAGAGACGCAGACTTCCTAGGCGAAGCGTATTTTCTTGTTACGTGCATTCATTCAAAACCTTCCTCTCCAAATGTCCCACGACCTAAGAGAACGCTGACATTTGTGAGCCAGACAAAGACCATCTCATCACCCATCAGACCCCCCGGGGATCCGCCGCATCTCCTGGGTCCGCAGGTGATTTGGCCACTATGGCCAGCAGAGGGCACTAAACCAAGCCCCAGGAGTCCCCTAATTGCGGCATTGTATTTCCAGACGGGTGACAACGTTCCTGTCCCTGGCTCTTCACCCTCAAAGGGTTTGTGCAAGCTACCAATAAGCACAGACACGAGTCCACGCAAAAGTAATCCTGGAAACAGTAGTTAAATCCATAGTGAATTTTAAGGATTTGTATTGAATCTACCAAAAGTGAAGTATTCTGGACATTTCCATGCTGGGTCTCAGAACTGAGATTATCACAGTAGCCTGCAACAAAGCAGCTTTACTTTGACTCCTATGGAAAGCCAACCAGCTATCGGTTTGATTAGGATCGCCTTTTTACTCCGTGTGGCGCCTTTCTAACACTCATTCTTGGGCAAGCGCACAGCAGCTTCGCGAGCTGGAAGGACGCGCGGCAAAGCAGCCACCCAGCAGCCGCACTGCTCTGGAGACGAGTGTCCACGGTGCCGAGCTAGAAGGGGACGAGGCGATGATTCAGTTCGCCCAGGACCGAGTCCAGAAGGCCCTTGAGTGTCATGTTCAAGAGTTTAATTTGGTGCTATGGTCTCCTTTTCCATCAACAACCTGTCTTATCAGAACCGCTTTAGTGCATGACAAAACAACGCTGATTCCTGGGCCCAACTCCAGATGCAAAGAAGCCAAATATAGGGCAAGCGACAGGTTTTGTATGGACTGCGGCTGACAACCTCGGCTGTGAGCTGTCGCTGGAGTTTCCAGAGGGAGTGCTGGGAACCGGTCAGGAGCCACCACAGACCCGGCATTAGGCTTTCCTGCCCCAGAACGGCTGGGGGCACGGGCATCCCCTGGGACCTTGCTAGGGAGGCAGCCTCTCAGGAACCACCGGACCCCCCACATTTTCACCAGACCCCTGCATGCTTCCCATGCACATGCAATCTGACACACACCGGCTCCGCAGCAGAGAAAGGTCTGGACTAAGCCAGGACAATGGGAATGACAGGAAGGGAGGGATTTGAAAGGGGTTCAAAGGCAGAATCTGTAGGAACGGTGTTCACCTGGACGTGGTGATGAGTAAGGGCATCAGAGGTACTGGGATTTCCATCTTGAGAAATCCCAGGGGATCACTCATTAGCTGACATCGGGGGAATGGGGTCCCCGGTTTAGGGATAGAGATGATTTGGGCTCGGTATAAAACGATAATACAAGCTCCAATTTACTGAGCTCCTATAAAGTGTGACAAGCCGTCTGAGGCTCCGTGGTAAGCTACCTCCCCAGTCCTCACGGCCATCCTATGACGAACATCCTGCTGTCCTCAGAGGTGGCCTGTTGCATCTCGGGGTTCTGGAGCATTCTAGTGGAGAGTGCCAACAGGAATCACACTCAGGGCCTAGGGCTCGGCTGGAGCTGGTGCTGAAGACTCAGGGTGTGGGTGAGTTCACTGGGGGTGTGTGGAGGGGCAGAGCTGAGGTGGCGGTGCAGCACCGAAGGAGGCCAGTGCACTTGGGGACCGGGGAAGAGGACCCAGGCTGAGAGTCTGCAAAATGACAGCCTGGAGACAGGAGGACAGGAGGCTGGTGCAGGGAGAGACCCCAAGGCAGGGCAGGGACTCTCCTCACCCCTGTCCACTCCCCCCAGCCCTTGCTCACATGCTCTGCCCAGTGAGGCGCCCTTTCATCCGGGATACACCGATTTGTTTGAACCCATCTGGGTGCTGCATTTCCCACCGAGACCTTGAGCCTCCCGAGGACAGGGGCCGTCTCCCGCCACATCCAAGCTGGCCTTCCCAGCTGATTGGGGACTGCCGGGTTTGGAGGGTGTGGAGCAGACCCTGAGCCGGTGTCTTTGGGGAGGGGCCGCCCGGCTGACCCCTCCTGTCCCAAGGGATGGAAAGGCGCGCTGGGTTTCTGGAGCAGATCGTGCCAGACTGCCCCCCTGCAACTCAAGCCCACAAGGTGCGGCTGAAACGCCAGGTTCTTCGATCTCACTCACAAAAGAGACTCAGCTCCTCCACAAAGGAACAGACATAAAGATTTGCTCCAGCTTTGAGCAGAGCCCCCGGGATGGGCCACGTGCAATTTCTCATCCAAAACAGGACTCTTGAGTGCGAACAAGAGGCTGAAATAGTTTAAGTCATGTGCTTTCCCACAAGACTTCATTATTGGTCAGCAGTTGCTTTTACTAAAATGGGAACCCACTAAGTAGCTTTATTCGAAAACTATTTTTAAAAAATTAAAAAAGAAAAAAACAACCTTCCTAGAAAATAAAACTATCAGGGCACATTAAAGCAATATTTTTTAATAAAACAACCCCTTTTTAAATTGGTTATATGAAAATAAAATGAGGACACGAACAGAATACCTATTCGCAGTCCATATTCACCTGCTTCAATCAGTATCTTAGCCTTGTCTATTCTTAATATGTTTCACTTCTAATATATTTTCCGATATCCTTCCTATTTAAACATTTTCACAAAATCGTCTCAGAGTTTTCCAAATGAGTATCTTGTGATCTCTCGTTTCATTTGCTTTATCCCTTTTTGGCTTTTACAGGAAAAGATTATAATGTCTTCCTGTTCCCAACCTATGTTTTCAATAGTCGTAGTTCTTCCGAAGTTTAAATCGTTGAGAGTTTTTTTTGTTTCTCCCCTTTTTTTTTTTTTGTGGTGGTATTTTTTGCTGCTCTGTTGAATACTTTTATTCAACTAATTAAGAACAAAACGCAACCAACACGT